TCAACACTGGTAAGGTTGAAATCAGCTCCCGATCCAACCCGCCCCCCTAAACACACGGTACTCCCATAGAGACCTTCGGATAATCATTTGGTCTCCGTAGCCCTCAACGCCGAAGGGGGCATTTGTCTTTACAATAGTTCACAACGTGTTGGAGCGTGTTGAGCTGAAGGCAGAAACATCAGCAAAATGCATCCTGGTTTCTGGTTTGGCCCAAAATGATCATGGTGAATGAAGCACCTACAGGGGCATCACCGATAACAGAGCTTTTTTATCGGGAGGGCAAACAGTCATTGTTCATCTTCAGATGCATCGAGGGCCTGTTTTGTTTGGTGTGCAGGAAGGAGGGGGAGGGACAAGGGCGTTTGTCAGTGGGCAAAGTCCTCAGCCAGACAAGTGCTGCTGCTGATCTTTAAGAAAAGGGGCAGAGATCCTGAGGGCTGGTGCCGTTTGCTGGGAGGAGGAAGGACCGTGTTTCTGTGCTCTGTCTGTGCTATATGGACGGGGTGTCCATGGGGCCTCTCACTGGTGCCGTTTGCTGGGAGGAGGAAGGACCGTGTTTCTGTGCTCTGTCTGTGCTATATGGAGGGGCTGTCCATGGGGCCTCTAACTGGTGGCTTTCGTAATGAAAAGCAGGAAATGCCTGATACTACTACAGCTTGTGTGTCAAGGACAGCGAGCTCATGGAGGCTGAAAACAGATCCTTGCTACTTGCTGCCTTCATTTCCAGCCTCACGCCTTTTTAGCAGTTTAATTAGACGCAGGGAGCCTCTGCCCTTCTCGTGTTCCCTCGCTGTTCCTCCCAAGCCGCGTGTCACGTTGAAGCAGAGGCGGTGCTTAGTGTCCTGTAGCCTCTGGATGCAGGGACCCATCAGGGACGCCGTGGGATGTGTACACGCTGTTCCCCGGCAAACACAGACAGCTGTCAGGGAGCTAATCGATACAGCCCTGTCATACCATCCACGGCCAGGCTAAAACAGCATCTTTTACTGTTTTTCTAATTATCTAGTGAAAATATGTGGGGGGGGGGGGAAACTGCAGGGAATATGGTGAATCTGGTAAAGCAGGACTAACCGCACCTGAAGAGCATGTGTGTGTGTGCGTGTGTGTGGAGCGTGTGCGTGTGTGTGGAGCATGTGTGTGTGTGGGGCGTGTGCGTATTCACGTTTGGCCTCCTTTGGGGGGCAGAGGGTCCTGCGGGTGAGGTGAGCCCCTCCATCCTGGATCAATGCTCGCTGTGTTACTGCTTATTTACCCAGAGGACCCTGTTTTTTTTTTCCCCCAAGGTACACTGCAGCACAGTCCAGCTTTGTGCACATCACAGCTTGTTCTGCAAACTCACGGGGGGGGGGGGGGGGTTCTTTGGCCGAGCATTAATCCACACGCTAGGCAGATTAATGTTGCCTTTCCAAGACTGGGATTCATTCGAGCTTTGGCTGTCCAGAGTGATACCTTATATTTGATTATTTTAATGTGCATTCAAGAGAATGAATCTCTTGAATGCAGCAGAGGGCAAAAATGTAAGGCCCTATTCATGACGACTCCAGTACATAATAATTTTGTGCTCTCTCGCTGAATTGTGTGCTGAAAAACGAGACTCAGGTCGTGCTTTCCCGTTGTCCCTTCATCAAATCTCAGCACGTGAACGAGACGGACCGCAATCGCATCTTTCCTGATGACATTTCAGTGTTCCGTGTGAGTGCACACGGCCCTGGGTCTCTGCGGTGCAGTGTGGGCCACTGGGCTCTGGGTCTCTTTGAGGGTTAACAGCAGTCAGATTCTCCACTGCATGAACATGGAAACGCTAAGTGGCAGCTGCCCGCTGTATTTCCTGGGAGTGAAAGTGGGTAATCAGATCAGGCCCTGTCAGTCTGAAGACACTAACAGGTACATCAAGCACCTCTGTGTATGACCCTTTGTGTAAACCATCTGGTACCACAGAGAGGTGCCTGGACACGCCCCCCCCTGTTTGCACACGAATGCGTCCTGCCCCTCGTGTGGGTTCTGGCTGGGACTTGAGGGTAGCAGTGCTTTATTCTTCCCCGTAGGGGATTTGAATAGCTTTCGCATAGCCCACCTAGAGAGACATAGATACGTTTATACAGGTGACAGCAGGTTTTGGGATCAGACTGCAAGGTCAGCCAGCATCCCTGGAATGGCTGGTGTTAAGGACCCTGCCCAATGGCACAGCAGTGATATTACCTGCCAGTTATGGGATTCAAACTCACTACATTCCATATACGGTTACACATCTCCTCATGAGAAGGGGGCTGTATCAGGTTGGTGACTTTCGTGACCATCGGGATAGATCTTCCCCACAGATGGATCAGCCGTAAGACACAGGCAGCAGCCCCCAGAGCATCTCTGGCATGCCACTCCAAGTTCTCATTCCTGTTATCATCCCCCCCCCCCCCCCCCCAATAAAAAAAGCCATTCAGAAGTTTTCTCATAAGTGAGTGACTCATTGGGTGGGTGATGTTCAGACTTGTATCAAAAGAAGATGGTAACCAGAGGATCAGTGGGGGAATGGGGCTCCTGCCTCAAAGCATGATGGGAATGAGGAAGCCGGAGGATCGGGGCCAGGAGGCCGAGCTCACAGTAGAGGGGCAGGTGGGATCCTGAGGCCCTTGCCTGGCACCCGCATCCTCCTCCTTGTTGAATAGCTCTGACGGTAAACACTGTTTCCTCACCGGCAGCGCGATCCTAGGGACCGGAGAAGGGCAGCAGAGGATACTGTTGCGTTACTGCCTGACAAATTTCTCACATTTGACAACGTTTGTAGGTGGCTCAATTTGTAAAAACCACAAACTGAGGCAACCATTAGTCAGCCCCCCCCCCCCCCCACTACCTCCAACCCCCCCAGGGGGAAATGCGGCTAGTGGCCGGCATTTATTCCACCTGCCAGATGGGGGGGGGCATCCACTGACTTTCTCCTGAAAAGAATGAGGCCCAATCGGTGGTGCTATGCTGTGTTGAATTTGGGTCCTCCCCCCCCGTGTCCAGCGTGTCCCCATGTAGTTCTCCTTATGGGGTCATAATAAGAGGTAGTATTTTTGAGGCTTCTGATCAGTCGGGTTAGTGGTGGTCAGTGGAGCCGTAGCTTGGGGGTGGTTCTCCAGCTTTCTCTCCACTCTCTGCCCCTGTGTCACTAGGTGAGAAGGTCACTGTCCGACCTGGATGTGCTGCCTTTAAAAGCCAGTGTCACACATGTGGGGGGTGGGGGGCATGAAATCGAAAGCCAGCGGATCCCGGGCAGCCGCTTCCCACACTGGCCTCCTGTGAATGGGGTCCATATGCGGAGCTGTCAGCCCCCACCTTTCAGTATAATAGTAACATGCAGGCGCTTCTGCGAGGCGTTTATTCCGGGCTCTGAAACAATGGACCTTTGTCTGGGAACATGGCGGCTGAGGAATTGGGGCCCCATGAGTGCGGGGCAGCAGTGCGGGGAGTGCCGTTGAAAATGGATGACATTCATATCTCCGTAATTCGAGCCGCGATCCTCTGCTCATATTTGGCAGAGTCACTGGTGCGTTGTGCCAGATTAATTTCTCTTTGAAGCAATGCAGAGCCCCCCCATTCCCCCCACCCCCCCCACAGGCCCGCGTGCCGTAAACATGTGGGACTAATCACATTCGCTGGCGTGCGCTTCCTCAGAACTGAGCGGCTGGTCATTTCGTAGAAAGGTCCCGGGCAGAGAGAGAGTGTAGCCAAAAACAACACGTTTTTTTTCCCCTGGGTCTAATGAGTCTGACTTAGTCGCAAGGATGTCTTTCAGTATGTGATTGTCATGAGGGTTTTTTACTCACACGCTCGGCTGGCATTTTGTCATGCTCTCCACGCAGTGTCAGTCGACACATTAGAGCCACAAAAGTGGCCACAAGCCCATTTCACTGTGTCTCACAGGGGGCGCTGGTGGTGAAGCTTGCCTAGGGGGCCACATGGGCTCCATCTCTGCCCGTGTGAATTGCTCCTTGTGTCTGTGGCCGTGATGGACGGCGCCTCCCAGTTCCCAGCTCTCGTTCTCTGTGCTGTGGCTGCAGAACTCTGTGTTTACTGGAGCCCCAGTAGCGCTCTCCACTGGTTTACAGCAGCGCCTTTTTAGACCCCTGGAGATGCTGATGTCCGCATGAGTGCGATTATGGGGTCACTCTCATTTAATCTTCTTTCAATACAGGACAGCCACCCCCACGCAAGGCCAGGTGCCCCCGGGTCACTGAACCCATGTGCTGTGTCCCTCCTGGCTCAGTACTTGGTTTCTGGGGGGGGGGCAGCAGAGGCAGAGCCATCTCTCAGCTGTCCCAACACTGGGATATATGGCTTTTTTCACCACAGGTATTTGCTAAGCCTTCCGATTGGTCGGACTGAAAGGGTGCTCCTCCAATTTGCTGGTTTAGTGAAACCCCTAAAAGCAGACCCACCTCAGAACTGACATTCTCATGGGAGGTGGCAGTCAGGTTCCTTGTCCCCCCCGGGATTGCGTCTATATGTTGTCCAAATCCAGGGCTGAGTGGGAACATGGGGAAGCCCAAATGCAAGTAGATAAGCATGTTGCAGTGGTCCACTGAATCGCTGGGGGTTTCCTGACCGGGGGGGTGGTCCTTGGATCGAGTTTGCATGGGAGCATCATCTTGAAGGCCCTGGACCAAGCCTCATTCTCGTTCTCCCTCAGTTACCCAAACCTGATGCCCTCACAGTGGATTCAGGGAACCTGCCCCCCCTCAGTATAGAGCAGGACATTAGCTGCTGCTCTTCACTGGGGGAGGAGGGGAGATGAATAAACAGAGAGAGACTGGGCCATCTGGCATGTGGCCGGTGCTGCCGTGTGTTCCTGACATCATGTGAGCTGTTTGCTGAACCCAGAGCACGGACACGATCTACCACTCCCCTTTCTGCCCATGTGAGCATGCCACTGTGCCCAGCTGCGGTCTCATGAGCACCATGGTGGGGGCGGTCCTCTGCTCAGCACCATGTCCTGAAATCCCCCCCCTATGTGTTCCTTTCAGATGTCTGCCACCTCAACCCATGCATGTGGTCTGATAGCCCTCGCCATCCTCGCCATCCTCACCATCCTCTGTGTTCACGTCAACTCTGAGCCATGGATCCCTGAAGGTGAGTCGCCTACCTGGGTGTAGCTGGATTGGAGATGGACTTTGGGGGTGTATCTGAGGTCAGACAGACCCACAGATGACCCTTCAGTGGTTGTTGACATCAGAATGCCATTAGCGAAATGTCTAGGTGTGTCTGTAAGTTGAGGAAGAGAGTTCTCTTGCCAATAGAGGGATCTATGCATGGCACGTGTGAAACCAGTGTGAAATGAGTGTGAAATGAGTACACGGGGCTGTGACGGGCAGAAGGCATGCCTCCAGTTGTTTGTAGCTAGAATCTTCCAGGGGGCACAATAGTGTGAAATCTCAGTGTCATGTCACTCCAGTGAGCGAACTTGAGTGCATTTCTCCTGAGCTGAAAGGGAAAGGTCATTGGTGAAACGTACCATTTGAGTAAAGAAGGACCAAGTGCTTGGTGGGCAATTACTGGATGGCAGGCTATGGTGCGATGATTTAGCTTGTGTGCAGCTTTGAGTAGTTTGTCCAAATGGCCAGTGTATGGAAAGAGGTAAAGTTGTGCAGGAGAGGCGGGCCGCCGTAGCGTAGACCCGTGCAGGCCCGGTGAATCACCCACTGTTTTTATTTATTCACTGTTAATGATTAACGGCAGCTTGTGGACAGTACTGTAACGCTGAGGTAAATGTCAGCAGGATCCACAGTAGATGCTTAGGGGGCCAGCTGTGTGACGTGTGTGAGAAGCAGGGGCTGGAGGCGGTAAGCGTGTCGGCGTGAACCATAGTGGCATGACCGCCATTCAGCCTAAGGGGTCAAAGTCAGCCAGGTGGGCTGTGCTTTCATCAAGTCGGCATTTGCATCATGGTCTTCCTGAGCAGAAGCAGTGTGGAATGTGACCGGGGTGGCGGACGTGGCCCTGGGACTGCAGCAGCCCCTCCCTTCATCCACAATGCAATTCTTTGGGTTTAGGGGGCATGTGACATTCTAACGCGTGTGAGGAAACAGTCTCTGCCTGTGTTTATATCTTTGGACGCCTTATTTGCCCACGAGGCCGGTCCGTCGCTGGAAACAAAACAGGCTTAACAGACACACTTACTGCTGCCCTACAAACAAACCCCAGATGTACAGAGTAAGACTCAGAAACAAAGTCGATGGTGTGCATCTGCCCCAGTGCTCTCAATATGGCTGCAATGGGCATTACATGGAGCGTGGTTGTTCTGACTCGCTGTCTCTTCCGACAAGCTGCAGACGTCCAGTACGGCTCCCTGGACTGCAACGTGACGCTGGCCTGCAGCTCCTCATTGCCCAGGTAAGTGGGGGTCGCCCACAGGGGTCATCGCCATGGCAATGCCACCACATGTTGGGAGAGTGTGACTCTTTTCCATCACCTTCCTGGGTGCCGCAGGTCCCTGGCGGAGTGGCGACTGAACGGGAGCACACCAGTTCCCGGACAGACGGGTCTGGGTTTGGATGGCGGCCTGACGCTCGTTAACACCACTCAGCACATGGAGGGAATCTACAGCTGTCACGATGAGGAGGGGAACGTGGTCCACGCGGTGAAGCTGTACCTGGGCCGTACGTGAGCCGTTCCGTCCCAAAGCGGTGCAAGCCGCCAATGTGGGGGATTAGACCGGCTTGGGTCAGGATGGGGCTCTTATTATTCATTTCTATTTCATCAGTGAGTAATATGCGGTGGGTTTCCTAGAAGTCTTGGCTGCGATCTTCAGTGAGACAAGTGTGAAATGAAAAGTGAGAACGTGGTATAATGCCCGTCAGATATGCAAGACACGCCATGCCCAACACGGATGTAAACTAGGGCAATGCATGGGTACTCAAAGCAGCTTGAGGCTGGGTTAACGAGCCATTAGCGAGGTCGTGTGATGTCATCGTCACAGTACAGAGCAAGGTCTGCCTGTAGTGGAGGTGATCTGCCCCTTCGCTGCCCATCCATGGGGGGGGGGGGTTGCGTAGCTGTGACAGGTTGGCCATCAAGGTTCATTCTAAGAAAAGACAGGGGCCCTCAGGAATTGGACTAACCACCTGTGTGACCGCCCTGTCAATTGGAGCGGAAGCTCACTTCTCTGGAAAGTTACAAGCGAGGGAAGTCGTGCACTTGTGGAGTCGGGCTGGATGGAGCGGGAAATGGCTCCCCTGAAACGCTGGGCTCACTCAAAGGCAGGAAGCGTCGTCCCCGGTGACCTCTGTAGCTTCCTGACAGGAAAGGTGGAGGTCGCTGATACAGTGATATGTTGCGTATATGCTCGCTCTCGCAGGGGGGAGGGGGGTCTTATGCAGTTCAGTGGCTATTCTTATTTCCCTCCTCATGAGCAGGAGGTCACTGCGACCAGTGGGTGGTAAACTTGTGAGTAGGGGCAACCCTGTCATGAAGAGTGGAGGTCAATTATGACACCCAGTGAATGGCTGCTTAGTGTGTGGCTAACAGGGAGCTACACACTGCAGCTTTCGAGGTGTGTCCTGGCTGGGTGTGCTGTCTGTGAATGGATCCCCGCTGTGGTCTCCCCAGGTGCCCCGGAGCCATTGAATGTGTCGTGCAGGATGGTCAATCACCACGTCGTCCGTTGCTTCTGGAAGCCACTGGTGAACACGTACCTGCCCAGCAAGTACATCGCCACCTACAGGTAGGTGTTGTGTCCACTTTGTTGATACCTGGGGAGATAAGGATATAGTCACTGTCTGATGGAAACATGCGTATGTCCACTTTTTGTCAATTGTGACTTTTCTTTAGATGGAATACACCCATTCGCCTGTTAACTGATAGCGTCTGACATCTGATCGACCAAGTCATCTGTTTAACTAGTATTTATGTTTGTACTAATTAGCATTTATATTCACAATGGTAATTTGTATGGGTTACTTTTATATTGCTAATTATAACAATTTAACGTTCATAGCTTGATAGCTAGCTAACATCACTAACGGTACTTGTGAATATAAAATGAGATTAGTTTGTGTCTTGTTGACACCAGCATATCTGCCACACTGACAACAATCCAAATAAGTCCAGTAATAACATTAAACTGTTCAGTGATAGCTGTGTAATGATAGGTTTGTATTTGTCGCATTATGTTGCTTTAGGTTTATTTTGTAAAGTAGTTTCTGACAACATGTGTTTCTCATGCACCAGAAATAATGGATCTTTGTAGATGCATGTTTTTTATTGGACAGCGATGATATTTAAGCCAGCACCTGCTCTCATGGGCCAAGTCATGTGACTACCGCTGTTTCCTGTCTTGGTCCTGCTATAAATTTGTAGTTTACAGCACTGCGGTTCACGTGACCCTTGTTAGTGTTGGGATGAACTGCGCCACAGCTCTGAGTCCAGATGTGATCCCTCTGTGCAGGTATGATAACCATGTGAAGACGTGCCACCAGGAGCCGTCCAAGCCCAACGAGTGCACCATCGGTAATCCGCCCATGTGGTATCACACAGTCACCATGAACATCACCGAGGTCAACCCCCTGGGCACAGCCTCCACACGGATACAGCTGCAGTTCCATAAGCTGTGTAGGTGTCCCGTCATTATCGGCGTCCCCCGTCTCACCCATGTGCTGACGTGCCTGCTGCCCCCTGCACACAGTGAGACCTGACCCCCCCGAGGCCGTGACCCTGGAGCCGGTGGCGGGACAGCCCCGAAAGCTGCGAGTTAGCTGGCGGTACCCGAGCTCGTGGCCCCAGGGCAGTGCCTTCCCGCTGCACTTCCAACTGCGCTACCGGCCAGTGGGCTCCAACATTTGGTCTGAGGTGAGACACTGCTTTTGAATTGATGGGAAAATGCTGGGATAGTATGATGATAGAGTGGAGGACTGTCTGCATCAATATCATAGGAGAAGACACCTCTGCCTTAATTCAAGTGTTGGATGGGGGGGCTATCAGTGAATGTCTCTGCTCCTGAGGACACTGTGTAGAACATCGCCCCGAGGAGGGTTTATGAATCAGTTATGGTGCACAAATTGTGAGTGTGATGTGTTTCGTGACTGATTCTCCCTCCCAGAGGATCACGACTGGCACCACCGTGATGATCACGGATATGGTCTCTGGACACCCCCACCTCATTCAGGTGCAGGCTGGAGATGAGTTGAGCTTTGGCAGCTGGAGCGAGTGGAGTCCTGAGCTGCTGGCTCTGCCCTGGATCGGTGAGGTTTCCCACCTGGCCGCTAGCGGCTTTAGTTGGTATGTGGAGGCAATGTAATCACAGATCACGGCTCTCGCTTGGTGTAGTGAAGGAGGAGGTTGTTGACTTTACCTGGGAGTACACAGAAGCTCTTTAAGAAGGTGGAGACCACCGGGGGGTGCTGTGGCACACTGGTGAGGCGTGACGAGAGGAAATGCGGGACTCTGATGCCTCCGTGTCTTGCTGTGTTTCTTATGTCTGCCGGTCTCTGTCGACTGAAGTAGAAGCTAGTCCAACCACGAAGGAGGATCCAGCCTACGAGCTCTTCACAGAGCCGATAACAATAGAGCCCACAGGTATGTGGTGCATGGTGCCTGTGTGTATGTGTATGTGTGTGTGTGTGTGTGTGTGTGTGCGCAGGAGGGCTGAGAGCAGGGTGTGGACTGACAGGGGTGTACATTTGATCTGCTTGTGGACTTCAGAGGCAGTCATCTGGGTTATACTCTAAGGCCCAATGGGATACATTTGCCTGGCGGCGGTGCCCTCCTTGGCTTCATCATGGGGGAAAGGAGAGAGCACTGTAGCCTCAGTGTGGAGTCTCCTCATGATGCCTAGCCTATGGCATCTCGTCACCCTGGTGACATTCCTAGGAGAGATGCACTATGGGAGTGGGAGATGGCCAAGCTGTCCACCCTGACAGGTCCTGCTGTGTCAGATGGAGCAGTAGACCATGGATGAGCCAGTGCGTCTCAAGCAGTCATGGAGAAGTGCAGTATTACCACTGTAGGCACCATGTGGTGTTTTTAGTGACTGAATAAACACTTCTGCTGTGGGTAGTACACCTTCCCTGGTGCACTGTCGATGGTGCCAGTTGCTTGTGGCTATTTTTAGCGCAGTCAGTGCTCTGCCAACGCCTTGCTGCCTTAGATCTGTATGCCACGTTCCCGAGAGTGGCTGGAGGAGCAGCCTCGAGTAGACGCCCCTGCCGGGAGCTCGTCTGATTGGCTGTGCTGGTGTACACTCAGCTGGCTGGCTAGCTGATTGAGCTAGCTATCCAGAGAAAATATATATATATTTTATTTTTGTGTGTGTGTGAGAAAAAAGCTGGCTTGAGAGAGCTTGCGGTGTAAATCTCTCTAAGAAACCGTCCCAGGAAAACAAGACAGCAGTGTGCTATAGGGATCCAGCACCTTGGGTATCAGAAATGTGAAACTGCTGCCTGAAATTATTTTTTCCGCACTTGGAAATTTTGAGTGGGACTGACTCAGCCTATTTTCATGCAGAAACACACATGTTGTGCATTTGTTGCCAGTGAAGCGTAAGGCTGTGCCGCATTAGTAACATGAGTGTGCGTGCCTTGGTTCTGAATTGTAGGTGGTGGGAGGGGGTGCATGTGAAGGGAGACTGGGGTGTAGGAGCCAGGCCGTAGTGAACGAGGCCAAATGCTACGGGCCAAAGGAAACACCATCCTGGTGTGCTGTGTGCGGTGGGTCTGCCTTGGAGTGAAGGAGAGAGGCGTGTTGTCTGAAATCCAGCAAGGATTTCAACGAACTGTATGGAACCATGTAAGACTTTTGGTAAAGTACCAGGGATGGGGTGGGATGAGGGGGAAAACAGGTGTGGCATGTAGTGTCAGAAAGCGAATGATCGGTGGCATGTGCCATGTTTGATAAGCGTGTCATGGTCGTGTGCCCTTCATCACAGAGTTACCCGTGGAGAAGACAAAGGGCGTGGGCGTGCTGGTGTGCCTCGGCCTGCTGGCGGGAGTCATCCTTTTGATGCTGTGCACGCTGATCATCCTCCTCTGGTGAGAGGAAGGCTCTGACTGTAACAGAACATGACAGGACTGTGTGCTGTCATGGCTGATATGCATGCAGAACCCATTAACATTAGTCTAAGTGTAAATGTAAGTGCAGCAAATGTAGTCTAAATGTACATGTAATGTGGGAATGAAGGAGGTAGTTGTTGGCATGACTGGGGGAGAGAGGTAGGGATTCTGTCTGCCTGCCAACCACGTTTGCCAAAGGAGACCCTGTCATGTCACTTCAGGGTGAGACAGAAGAGGAGGGACTGCATGATGAAGAGGGAGCTGGCATCGATGATGTCCATGCAGCGTGTGAAGATATGAGGTGTGTGTAAGTCTAATAAATACTTTTTGCAGAAGACTTATGGCGCTTTTCCGCTAGCATGCAGGAACTGAGTCGTACCCAATCCATACCTTGAAGAGACTAGTTACAGCGCGAGTCCAGCTCACTTTGGTTGTCGCCTCGGTAAAGGCACTGTCGGATTTGGAGAAAGATGCTTATGTACTGTGCGGTACGGTGTACATCATGATTTACTATGTCCTAATTTAAATTTTTAATAGCAAGGTTGTGAGAATCGCTATGTTAGCATCAAATGTTACCGCAATTAGCATTCACCTGTGTAAATTTTCATTATGAATCCATTTCATTCAGCCATTCTGTAGTACTTTTTTTTTTGAGTAACAGGATGGAAATTTATGTTCCGAGCAATGTATCAATATATCACGATGTGTGATACTACTAATAATGAATAATTCCGGTTCTTTACCAATCAGATGGTGGTGAAGCTTGGTCTAGTCACATTCTCAGCCGTGCTAGTAAGCAGGGCCATGTCAGCCCCATTACAGGACAGGTACGGCTTGCATAATTTACAATAGGAAACAGTCTCTTCGTGATTCGGCTCGGGTCTTGGTGGCTGCGGAAAAGTGCCATTAGTAAGTGGTAGTTATTGCAAAGATTCAATGACCGTGGGCCAAATGGGTGGCACAGAAACTCGAGCAGGGCACAAGATAAGGTGATAACTTGGGCAATGCGCTTTGTTGACAGGTGTCTGTGATACCTGGCAGCCCACAGGAGCTGTTTTCAAGGAGAAGCAGTAATGCCACTAAGGGGTTCAGCAGGACCACACAAAGGACTACAAAACCCAGAATCCACAAGGCCATGGGAACTCAACTGATGTGTCAGGACAAAGCAGACTGGCATGGCACAGAAGGCATGGTGTGTTGGATGGAAGGCCTGGAACCAAAGCAGAGACAGCATTGGCTGTCAACCGTATACAGACTTTTGTTTCCCCTGGAGATGCCAGAGTGCTGCTTCTGAGATGTGAATGAACTGATTGCATGGGCATTTAAGGACTCGGAGACCTGATGGGGTTGGCTTTTGCACTGACAAAATGCTGCCCTATAAGGTTGTGAAAGAGAGCTAAAGAAACCATTATATTGAATTAACCCATACTCACCCATGTCTGCTCCCAGCTGGCCACAGATCTCCTCCATTAGCACCCAACTCCAGTCACACATACCAAGAACTCCCTTGCCAAACCTCTCCTGTAATCCCGAGACCTTCCTTATACCGCTGCATTGGCCAGGTCCTCCGCCTCCTTGCTTCACTTCCATTGACTCTTATACTTGCCACCTTCTCCTCACAAACTCAGCACACACACACCGAATAAGCCCACACAAGTCAATTGTTACGAAGTTTATAGTGCTGCTCCGACGATACGTGCCGTATCTCCCATCCGGCACCAACTTCGTCCAAACTTAAAGCTGACAGCAGCCTATGGGGAGATGCCTGGAACTGCTCCAGAAACAGCCAGAGCATCCTTTCGGCACATCACCATGCAAGACGAACGCAGCAAGTCTTAAAATGCACTTTATTCCGAACATTCAAAAGAAGCTCCAAAATCAGGTTACGCTCACCACACGTTTTCAACGTGTTTACATTGCAACAAAATAAGCTATCTCACTGACCTGAGAAAAGTCAGAGACCGCGCTCGTCAGCTTAGCCGAAATGGTCAGATAAACTAATAAAATGACACTGACAGAATAGCAAACGGTGCGATCAAAATACCCCTTTTATAACTGCAGCTGGCTGGGGGGGGGGGAAGCAAACCCCATTCTTAAATGCTGACAAGCAGAGAAACTACACAAAACAGCATAAACCAACAATCTGACAGACACTTGCTTGCAAAGCTGACACACACCACACAGACCGGCTGACACTCCCCCCCCCCAAACACATGGCCCGCATTAACCAACAAACACAATAAACCCTCCCCCTAGGAAAAGCTCCAGCAAAACCACCACAGTACATCAGCATACACACCCATCACTATAAACAGAGGTGTACCCCCTATATGTAATCTGGCGTCATTTGTCCCCCATAATAAATAGACCTTTGTATTTCAATTATGATGTTGTGTGTCCCCCTCCCCATGTGAAACACTCCTACTCCCTTCACTAAAAAACTGCATCTCATTAGAGACCAACACACAGGATGCTGCTTCCCAGTCCTGAGTGAAACAGGGATCTGTCCCTAAGTGGCATTGCAGACTACAGAAACAGGGGCAGACACCAAGCCAGGCCTACTGCACGCCATCAAGCCTGAACCAGCTGTACCACCTGCCAGGGCGAGAGGGGGCACCAGCAGGCTTCAGGGGGAGGGGGTTAAGTTGAGCCGTGTCCCTCTCCCCCTCAGTCAGCTAAGGCGCACGCTGCTCTGTGCCCCTGCTCTACAGACTGGAGCCGTGTAAAAGCAGCGCCTGTTCACCACCACACTTCCGTTGCTGCTTTGTACGATCTGCCAGAGCAGTGGGTTTGAAATGACAATCGAGCAACTTCCCACCGGGGCCGGCCCAAGACGTAAGCCAGGTTTACTAATGGCCCAGCAGCCACCAGAGCCCCCCTCCCCATCTGATCAGTCTTTCAGATTGGAAAGGAAGATGACAAAGGGAAACTAGGTTAATCAAATTTTACTTAGGGAACCAAAAAAGGTTGGGCTGGCCCTGCTTCCACCCCAGTGTTTTTCTTCACAGAGAGCACTGTAAATTACTGTGCAACAACCTTTAACTTAAACCACTTTTACCACTCATGGTTATCACACACCCCATTTTACCTTTAAACAAATCCAGGAGGCTCCCTTGCGCTCCATATTAAGGCACTTTCTCCACGGACACTTGTGGTCCATATACGGCTTGGCCAAGGTACCATACCGCCATCTACCGGCTAACCTGGGATGACACGCCATGAAACGCCTCCCTGACTATCAGCTGCCCAAGATCGACCGAGTCCTACGTGCATCTATTACTTTTAACAGACCACACTGACATGGAGGGAAAAGACGTACAAGCAAAAGCCCGGCTTGTCCTACCTGGCCGCAGGCTCCGCTGCCGTGCCCGCAGGAACTGTGCTTTTCGCCGTGTATCAGCTCCGCATCCGAGAAGCTGCCGATTACTACAGACCGCTCTCCTCCACACCGCCTAGCCCTTCTTCCCGGGAGCTCCTCGCAGGTCCAGCGGAATGAAGAGATGGGCCCGACTGCACTGCCGTCCCGGACTGTGCCCCAAACCGCCCAATTAGCGTCTTGATAGAGCAGTTGGATATCGTCTAATAACCTGGAAGACCTGGATATCTTCGAATAACCGCAGCATATTACATGAAACCGGCCCAAAATGTATTCATTGAACTTAGTATCTCACTGAACTGCCAATATATCCGAACTGAACTTAAGGGTTTTCCCAAACAGTCCATGGGCTGTATGTCTGGGGAAGCGATTACTTATTCGCGAGCGGCGCCAAGAAAGAAAAGTGTTTGCTGCTTATTAAGTGGCTGTGAGGACACTTATCTTTCCCATCGACGGCTGAAACTTCCCTTTTTGGAGGGAAAATGACAGCAAGGAGGGCAGGAGAGATTTTCGTGGCATGGGGGCGGGGCTGAGCTTTCTTAGTAGTAATTATACTACGAGAAAAAACACATTTAGTCCATATATCTGGCCATTACTCTTCCAGCATCAGACGGTTTATGTCACAGAGAGTGACACATGACTTTCTGGTAATCATAAAAAAACATCCATGCTGTTTCTGATTACAGTTCTGTCCAACGGTTCTGTCCATCCAGGTCTCATTCTACGGGAGAACAGGAACAAGCTCATGAGAAAGTCCACCAATAATGTCTGCATGCATTTCACATACATGGAGCATATTTGGATTCTGCAGCCACAGAATTGTCTTTTGCACGCGTGACAATACGTAGCTTGTGGTTATGCTTCACTCCAGCTTGGCACGTGTCGTGTCGTCTCACTCCTCCGCATCCGTATCATGCACGTAAAACGCTGCGCATACACGTCTTTGGCGGAGTTTGCTAAAGCATCATACTTTTTTTCTACACACACTAACTATATCGCGCCAGCTCATACAGAATGCCTTCTCTACTTGAGAACATAGGAGATCTGCATACCATAAAACTACTGGTTCGCGTGATTACAGATAACACGTGTCGTCCATGCCGTCTTCCACTCGGCATTTCCCAAACTGCAACGTATGTCGCAACGCGCTGGTGTCATCCCATAGAGTGCTGAATTAATTTTGGCTGTTACAATATGTGGTCAGGCCCTTTACTCTGTATAAACAAAAAAAGCAAAATTTTAAAATTCTACCGGGCTACTCAACCATGTCACTGGTATCTGACATCATAAGAGCGTACATCACCTCGTTTTTTTCACAAGGTTTAGACATTCTTCATGAAGGTGGAGAATTCTTAAACACCTTATAATTCCAACGGCCGTGGTCACCAGCGTGCATCGAAGTTCACGGCCACCCCTCTTTGATGCCTACGCTGGATAGGAGCTGTTCGAGGAGACGGCCAATGGCATTCAGGAGTAGGCGTGACTTTCTCTGACTGATATGCGCATCCACCAAACAGGATCTACTCCGTGTATGCAAATAAATCTTAGGAGTAGACCGGTGTCTAGACCATCATTTGAGGATTTACTTTATCCATTTATTATTAGTATTAGTATTAATTCTAATAATAATACTTATTATTATCATTACTGTTATGGCAATAGCAACAATAATAATAATAATTCCCGAAACCGTAGTCTTCAGCCGATGACCAGCGTTGTATTTTAGCCGTTTTGTCACGTTTTTTTGTCATGACGTACATTTTTCCTGTGTCATTGCTGTCTTAATCTGCATTTCGTCTGTATGCTGCTTCTGTTTTGATAGACCTAACTGTGATATCTTTGAAATGTTACTTGTAATAAATGTAATTCGACACGTCTTAAAGTCTGAAGTGCTTTAATATATGCTGGTGTAGCAGCATGAATAATGCTGCATCTACCCAATAAACAGAGACAGTGGCGCCTGGAGCGTTTTATCTCGGGGTACCCACACCCGACTCCCCCGTCGATGTAATAATTACATTACAGTGTTTTTTTTTCGAGCGGTGGAGGGGGGGGGGTCCGCCCATGAATACTGCCCATGAACCTGCATCTTTCAGTATTCCCATACCCATAACCTCTTCCCGTACGTTATGTGAAGCTGGCACGAGTATATTGCTCTTCCCAGTTTCACACCACAACACTTTTTTTCCATTTTGCTGCATAAACGTAACAATTGAACTCCTGTTTGAGGCCTCTGGTACACATTGTGTGCACTGATGGTTTGTCTATATTTCCAGTATGTAGCACACGCTTCCGACCAGTAGATGGCGCTATGGACGTAGAAGTAGTAGAAAGGGGACGAAGACTGACAGAGTGTTCATTACATGACTCACAACAGTTTATTTCACAGGCCTTGCGTCTGTAGGACCACACTAAGCCACACTGACAGTCTAGTTTTCCCTAAAGCACCATTTCCACTAAGGACGGTCCCACGAGGAAGTTTCCCAATCAGTCTATAGCGTCATGTGTGCCATACCAACAGAAGGATGACAAGGTAACTAGCGAGGTCTGCTGGCAGCTCCAGTAGGGTTACCATATTTGGTGAGACGAAAAAGATGTTCATTTCCTCACATCACTCATTGACATCACAAGTTGATGTCACTCGTGAGTAGCATGACACCTAGGCATACGCATATCATTTCATTTTTAAAGTAGACTTGTGCACCAGCCTTGCAAATGCTGTGTGATGATAATGAGTGGCTGCCGTATATTGAAAATTGGTGCCGTTCCTCTTACTCGGTACCCCACTGTAACATGCAACCCTGGGTCATACGGGTTGCAGTAATACACCTGGACAGACCACCGACATTTGACAAACCACCCGGATGTCCAGATGGGGGCCCAAAAAGAGTGACGTGTCCAGGTAAACCCGGACATATGGTAACCCTAGGCTCCCAGCCTGGGGGTTTCTTCCCACAGTCTGACCGCCTGTGCATCTGTGAATCGCTGTGGTTACTGTAGGTCCTCTTTGACTAATCTGCTTGAGTTCTTTGAGGGAGGTACCAGAGGAATTGATCACGGAAAAGTCTATGTTGTGATCTACTGAGATTTCCAGAAGGCCTTTGATGTTGTCCCCCACAAACAGCTCCTGTTTAAGCTCAAAACAGTAGGGATTTCAGTAACTGTAGCAGCTTGGATTGAAAACTGTTTAGCAGACAGGAATCAGCGGGTAGTTATTAGAGGCACAATGTCACAGTGGGCCTGCGTTCATAGTGGGGTACCGCAGGGTTCAATTTTAGGGCCATTGTTATTCCTAATTTACTTTAACGATATTAGCAACAAGATATACAGTAAATTGGTTAAATGTGCAGACAACACCAAGGTATGTGGGCGGTGTAGCAGATACTGAACTAGCAGCACAGAGGCTACAATGGGATCTTGATTTAATTAGCGACTGGGCTGATACCTAGTAGATGAAATTGAATGTAGATAAATGTAAGATAATCCATGCAGGGAGCAGAAATATAAAGTAGAGATATTTTATGGGTTCCACTGAAATAAAGGTAGCAGATCTTGGTGTGTATGTTGATGGCTCCATGTCCCACTCTGGCCAGTGTGGGGAAGCAATTATAAAGACCAATAGGATGTTGCGTTACATCTCTATGTGTGTGGAGTTTAAGTCAAAGGAGGTGATGCTAAGATGATTCAATTCCTTGGTAAGACCCCACCTACAATATTGCATGCAGGTTTGGTCACCATACCTTGCTGCTTTGGAAAGGGTTCAGCGTGGGGCTACAAGAATGATTCCTGGTCTTATAGTGAGGGAAACATGAATATCTGCCAACTAAATCGTTATCAAACAATTTCTTCACCAATAAGTTTGTGAAGGTGTGTAATAACATGATATTAAAATGTTGAAATTCAACTCCCGTGGGAAACCCTGAAAAAAACCTACTCAAGTTAGGGTACCGATTAATTATTTTTCGAAAATTTTTTTTTTTTCAATTGATTAGTGAGATAGTGAGATATCTCATAAAATTCCCTTACTATTAGAGGAATGTCTTATGAGGAGAGGTTAGCTGACCTGAATCTGTTCAGCCTCGGGCAAAGGAGACTAAGGGGGGAATGATCCAGGTATATAAGATTCTAACAGGTCTGGATGCTGTTCAACAAAATAATTACTTCAGTATTAGTTCAAATACATGAACTTGGCCATAGGTGGAAATTAGCTGGAGAACATTTTAAACTGGGTTTGAGAAAGCCCTTCTTTACACAGCGTGTAGTTAGAGTATGGAGTAGTCTTCCTGTTAGTGTAGTACCCCCTGACTCCGCCCTCTGACCTTTCCCTGCTTGGCCAGAATCCATTGCTGGCCATTCTGCCTTTTTCCCCCTTCTATCTCTTGCTTTTCAACCCTAGTGTGTTTTCCCTTTTTTCTTTGGCCAGCCGTGTAGCTTAATAGGTTGCGTGTGTAACTTAGAGGCTGTGAATGCCCTGGTTATATCTCTGGTTGTGAGTTCTAGGCCAACCTCTGTTGTTTTGTTTTTTTCCCTAATATTTGTTGTTAGTTATCATTTCTTCCCTGTTTTGAGTTAGTGTGCTTGTGTTCTGTTTTATGTTCTGCTTGTACTGGTCTTTTTCCCAGTCTTGATGATTGTTAGAGTTTCCCTATCCAGTGCTCATTTATTGTAGTTCATTATACCTTTTGCCTTGCTTTGTTGTTTGATTGGTTGTTTTTGAATATTCACACCTGTCCTTTGTTAGTTCTCAGTATCAGTGTATTTAAGTGCCTGCCTTAGTTGATTTCCACAGTCAGTCATTGTGATTTGTTCTGCAAGTGTTATGCTGGCTGTCTCTCTAGTTCCAGTTTCTGTATTACTTATTTCCATGAGTAGGTTTATTTATGATTCAGTTTGTAGTGTTTTCCCCTGATTTTTGACCTCTCGTGGTCTTGTTATTTTTTATTTTTTTTGGTATCTGTTCCCAGTGTGTTTGGTTAGTTTTGTTCTTAAGTTCATAACAATGAGTGCTCTCCTGCCCCTCTACCTCTCTGCTTTCGGGGGTGGGGGCACCGTGAATATCTCATAACAAAGGCCTCCCTGATAGCTGTGGTATACAGACGTGCCCGTTGGCTTTGGTCACTGGGGTACTGCGCTCCTAACTGCCCTTGACACATACAGTATGGCACCATGGCAGTGCAGAGATGCAGTTCATTCCAGGGCCGGGCAGGGCTAAATGCCGTGACAAATCTGGACAGTTGACTCACTTGCCTGCGGACCTGCTTCAGGGGGCATGTCCCACCCACTGCCCTCAAGCCACACCCCTTGGGGGGCGGATCCTGCAACTCCCCCAGATGCCCCAGAGCTTGAGTCTCATTCATTCCAGATGAGCTGTTTCCTGACGCAGTCAACCATGGGACTCCTTGCCATTCTGGTCCTCTCGCTGCTGTCGACCAAACTCCTTGAAGCGAATGAGGAAGAAATCTTACCAAGTGAGTAGTAACACACCCTGCCCTCTTGGGCTGCCGGCCGTCCAGCCTTCCCTCCCTCTTCTGTGCCATTGTCTAGAGTAAAGTCTCTTACCGCTGTGTATCCTGGCCATCAGTGAATAGGTTTCCAGGGCTATTTTTAGGGATGACTCGGCTGCTTAGGAGAAGTAAGCAGAGGGAACTTGGCTTCTCTCTGACTGTCGTCTTTTTGGCTGCTGTTAAATCGCGCCGAGTGTCTCTGTACCTGTTTCCGTGCTGTTCCGTGGCTTCTGTGCACTTTTCTATTGAGCCTGGCCACCAGGAAAACAAACACATACGCGGGAAAAGCAAAGGGCTGTAACAGGTTAGCATGAGTTTGAAGAAAAACAGCAGGGGGCGTTTTTCTCTCGTTTCCAGGCCGCACTCACCATCTGGGCGCACCAGTCAGCATACCGCCCCAGTCCTCCGAGGTCCAGGCGGCAGCCCGGTTAGCCACGGAGAAGTTCAGCTCCAAGTCAAGGTCCAAGATGCTCTTCCGGCTGTTGGATGTGACGTCGGCGGAGATGCAGGTAAGGCTACTGGGACACTGAGCTTGGTCTTTCTGCACATGGAATGCACTAAGACATAAATACCTCCATGCTGACTTTCAGCCTGTTGTCCTGCGCTGTTTCCTCACGCTTTGATGTCACAGTGCCCGTTCCCTAGGTGACGAACATCATCACATTCAAGATATGGGCCACCATCGGAAAAACCAAATGCCCGAAATCCACAGACGCCGACTTGGAATCTTGCGTGCTGGGAAAAAGGGTAATTTAAAAAAACACCCCATAATTATCTGGCATGGGATATAGGCATTAATTAAGGTCGACCACAACATGTGGCTGCGCATAGAGCCATGCTGGTCAGTGAATGCTGCCATACAGGCGTTCGCCCCCAGCTGCACCCTGTCCCACACACTCCCCGATCAGACACACACACACACACACACACACACCTGCTTCATTGGTCAGCAGCTCTCCTAATTTGTCTCTCTTTTCCAGCGCCTCTCTTGCACATTTGAGGTGACCTACGATCCTCGTACCAATCAGCATAAGGTCCCGATTTCTGACTGCAAAAAGGCCCCCGCAGCAGCTCGCTGAGTCGCACGGCGCCTCCTGCTGGATGTTTGCAGCATTGTGAAAACATAAAGACATGTTTCTTCACAAAGCCTAGACATGTTTCGGGGGGAGATTGCACTTTTTAATCTTGCTTTTTAATTTTAACAGCCATAGTCACCAGCATTTGGGGGTGGGCGGGACTTTCTCTGACCGATATGCACATCTAACGAGGGAGACTCTGAGTAGGTGGGTAAATCCTTGTGCACCAGTCATTAATCTTAAGGGGTTAAACAATCTGAGCATTTAGTTTAAGAATTTTATAGCAACAACAAAACCAGCAATGACGATGACAACAACAATAATAATATTACTATTATTTAAAGGGTTCCCAGAACTGTAAGGTCATCAGCCGAAGACCAACGCTCTTATACCCATTTTATCACATTTTTATTGGCCTTATATCTGCTGCTTGTGTCACTGCTGTCTGAATCCGCATTTTGTCTGTAAGCTACTTCTGTCTTGAGAATCTTAATTGTGAAATCTTTCAAATGTTGCTTATAATATGTCATTCAACGTGTCTAAAGTGCTTTAATATGCTGGTCTGGGAACAAGAATCTTCCACCACCAACTGGGGACCAACTGGGGCGTTACTTTACGATCTACATGAATCTGTATGAAAATGGAAATTAAACCCCTGCTTGGGGCCTCACTGTCTGCACTGATGATTGTCCTGCATTGGCAGTTTATAGCGGTTGCTTGTGGTGAGTGTGGCTGCATACACCTCTGCACACTGGTATGAAGAGGATGAGCTGTACACAGGTCACAAAGGCAGAAGTGCCCGATACATGGCTCACAAGTTTGTTTATTTCCTAACACCGTAGTTGGGCTTGTTTTAAGTTCAGCACCATTTTCACTAAGAAGAGCCCCACAAAGGAATTTCCTGGGCTGTCAACAATGTCACATGTGCTATTCCACTGTTACTCATCTCACATGCCCCAAAACCTGGACTATGACCAGAGGGATGACAAGGTAGCCAGTGAGGTCTGCTGGCAGCTCCACGGCCTGGGATATCCTCCCACGGTCTGACCGCGTGCGGTTTAGTGAATCGCCATGGTTACCTGTGTTGTGAGTGCTCCCTTGCTTCTTGGGCTCTATATTGCTTGGACAGTTTTGGAAGACAGATGGATGAACGAATCGCTTTAAATGAGTGGGCAATCGATGACATTGGCGCTCTCCTTAAGAGCGATCACGTCGAGAATACGGCAGCCTCATGTTCAAAGTCTTCCTGGAACCATGATCATCTCACCGACAGCCTGTTGGCTTTGGCTTCCAGGGTTCTGCCCGCCTACATGTCTGTCTACCTGCCCCCGACACACAGCTGGCATCACAGCGGGGCAGGACTGGAGGGCCACTAAACACCATGACTCATTGAGACAGCTGAGTCACATATTCGAGAACCGGCTTAGCTAAGGGGGCATGTCTCACCCGCTGCCCTCAAACCACACACTTTGGGGTGGACCGATCCTGCGGCTCCCCCAGATGCTCCAAGGCTTGGATCTGATTCATTCCAAATGACCTGTTTACTGCTGCCGTTAACTGTGGTTCTCTGGGGCGTCCTGCTCCTCTCGCTGCTGTTGGCCACACGCCTCGAAGTGAATGAAGAAGAAATCATTTCGCTGAGTGAGTAGCGCCACACCCTGCCTTCTTGGGCAGCCGGACGTGCAGCCGGACGTGCAGCCTTCCTTTCACTTCTCTGCACCTTTTCCTCTTGTTGTCCTGACCATCGGTGAATAAACTTCCAAGGCGATTTTTAGGGATGGCTTGGGTGCTTAGACAGGGCTAGTAAGTGTGTGTAGCAGCTGTGATATAAGCAGCATAATGTCATTCAAAGGTCCCCTGTTATTCTGAATTCACACTCTTGTGAAAGTATGTTGTAAAATGCCAACCAGCATATTGAGGACGGGGGCCAGTGGCCCTAGTGGTTAACTTGTGCTGTATATGTCAGGGGCCCCCGTGGTTAACTTGTGCTGTATATGTCAGGGGCCCCCGTGGTTAACTTGTGCTGTATATGTCAGGGGGCCTGGTGGTCAGTTCTTGCTCTTTACACAGAGGGCCCAGGTGGTGAACTCGCGTTTTATATGAGGGTCATAGTGTTTAGCTTGCGCTGCAAATGTTGTGCACACCCCCAAACACCCCGGGGCACTCAGAGTGACTGACCAGCGATTATGGCTTTTGTCCGTAAAGTAAACTTAGGCTACACACAAAGCAAGACAAAAGAAGGATTTTTGGTTTGGCTTTCAGTTCAGCCTTCTAGCCTATGTGTTTGACAAAAAAAAAACATTAAAGAAAAAAACATGGCTATTACAACCCAGCGTTTCACAAACATTGATTATTGCAGTAATAGTGCGTTCGCCATTCTTGTTAGCTGGGAAGCTGAACGTTGACACATAACCACACCGCTAAGTGCTACTTCCAGGTGGGAATTTCGAGACTCCAACTTATGTGAATGGTCCAACAAGACAAGCGCATACCATTGTTAATGCCCTTTCTAGATGAGATTGCCGACATCCGTAATAGCCTGGCTATGCATTCCTTCTTTGCGGCTCCTTTCGTTTATACGTGGGACTGGTCTTCACAGGCTATAGCCAAAACTTGGGATAAGAAAATAAGGAGCCTTGACAATTATAGATGAACTAGGCTAGGCTACGACTATTTGTTGCGTACTAGGGTAAGCAGTATGCATAATCATTTAAATTTCTTGTCCTAGGTCTCAGCTGGGTTGAATTTGCATTCAACTGGGTGGTACAGTGAGGATTTACTGACACAGACATTAAACAGCGCTCATTGGTCACATTTTGCTAATGTCAGTATGTGCTGAGCTGCTCCCTTAAAAACTACAAAACCCAGGTGCCATATTCAGCCACGTACCTCTGTGTTCTCCAGATTTCACTCTTCGTAGTTATGACATAATTACATTTAATGATGGGTGATGTGATGCTAACTTATTGTGACTAGCTGCAGTCGTATCCACAATATGCGGTTCTGGGTTATTGTGTGGATCTCAATACAGCACTAAATTTACATTAATTTTTGCTTAGCAGAGGCGTTTATAAAGTGACATACAAGTGATGCAAACATACACATTTTCAGGAGCTGGGCACAGTGTGTTTAGGCTGAGCTTCCGATGAATGACCGTTTACAACCACGGAGTACTTAACACTATTATTATAATGACAGAACGAACCAGTAAGTGACTGTCACACGATGGCTGAGAGTATGGAGGCTGCAACGGTGTAATAAAGAGTTTGAAACTGAGGAGGGAACAACTTAATCATTTATATACAAAGGATTCTTATTTGGGAGATAAATGAAGCCAAGTTAAATTTAGGGGGGTACACATCTCCCTTGTCTCCAGCAGTTCCTGTGCTCGGTGTGTGTGTGTGTGTGTGTGTGTGTGTGTGTGTGTGTATACAGTATATATATGTATATATAGATGATTATATGTATTCTATGCACACTTGTCCTATGCAGGGTCGTGGATTATTATTATTATTATTATTATTATTATTATTATTACTTAGTATTGGTACCAGTGCAGCTTCTTTCCATGCCAGCTGTTCTGCGGGGCCACAGCTGCTTGACAACCAACTAACCCGCCCAGTCCAGTCTCCAGCCAGCAGTGTGAACCCATGTCCCCTCTGACCATGGACGTCACCGCCATTTCATAATTATCCGTTTTTCATTAAATATTTGTTCACCCAGCACTGTTTTCCAGTTTGCCCCCCCCCCACATTCAAAATGCTTCTGACGCCTCTGCCTCTGACCGACAACACAGGGCCGTGGAGGGTGGGGGTAGGATTCTCACCCATCCTGTATGTTACAGGATTAGCCGAAGAAAAAATAGGAATCTAAAGAAACACGGATGTAGTGTGTGCTTCTGTGATTGGGGGGGGGGGGCGATGATATTATTGTTTATCCCAATATTTTTTAGTTATAATATTGCATATTATTATTTTGATTACTCCCAGTCCCACAGCACACCAGTCAGTATACTGCCCCAGTCCTCTGAGGTCCAGGCGGCAGCCCGGTTAGCCACGGAGAAGTTCAGCTCCAAGTCAAGGTCCAGGATGCCCTTCCGGCTGTTGGATGTGACGTCGGCGGAGATGCAGGTAAGACTACTGGGACACTGAGCTTGGACTTTCTGCACCAAGATGGACATACAGCCGCACTGGCCTCCAGCCTCCCGCCCTGCACTGTTTCCTCACGCTTTGATGTCACTGTGCTCGTTCCCTTTTGGAAAAATCAAATGCCTGTAATCCACAGAAGCCGAGCGGAGTCTTGTATTTTGGGAAAAGGGGTAATTTCCAAAAACATCTCAAAATCGTCTGGCATGGGATATAGTCATTAATCAAGGGCGACCACAACATGTGGCTGCGCATAGAGCCATGCTGGTCAGTGAATGCTGCCATACAGGCGTTCGCCCCCAGCTGCACCCTGTCCCACACACTCCCTGATCAGACACACACACACACACACACAGCCAGTTACATACATACCTCCAGCCAGATACACACATACCCCCGATCAACTACTCACACACCCCCAACCAGATACACACACCCCGAGCCAGATACATACATAACTCCAGCCAGATACACACATACCCCCGATCAACTACTCACACACCCCCAACCAGATACTCACATAAAGAGGCTATAGCCCAGCTGCGGGACAGTCTCTCACAGACACGCGACCTCAATTCCTCAGCACCACCCTGACAAAAAAAAACGCTGAACAATGCAGACTTTCAGGGCATGGGGGTGGGTAGGGAAGTCCACCTCCTGACGGCGTTTTTTCCCTGTCGTCTGACGCCTGGTAACCATTAGCTCATCGCTGGCCTACGGTTCGGCCCACGCCTCCGCTGCAACTGTGACGTCTGGCTCAGCGGGCCGTCAGCAAACCAAATGACGGAGGAGGATGCTTCAGAAACAGCAGATTTTCATATGCAAACCAAAACCCCAGATAATCTCCTAACAAGCACGTTTATTCATTCACAGCGAGTACAGCTGGCGATTATCTGGATACCTAAGAAAATAGATCTCTATTACTCATCGGCGTCTTCGGAAAGCTGGCAGCAAACCCCGGATGCTTCTCTCAGTGGGCTGCCGTTGTCTGTACTTTGAAAGAACCCTGCGGTCGCCATGCGGTCGCCATGCGGTCGCCATGCGGTCGCCCTGCGGTCCCGTACTACACGGTCGTCTCCACCTTGACTGTGACCTTGGATCTCAGGCACTGTTTAAGCAGGACCTCCCACTGCCTGTACCTGTCCGGGGGGGGGGGGGGACATCTTCATTATTTCAGTGTGGAGTTGAAAGTGTAGCATCACCCTGGGAATGACTGCACTTACTTCTCCACAACTCCCCTGATCTCTCTATCCTCTTGCTCCTTTAATCTGTGCAGAACGCCCTCCAGGAAGAACAGGTCCAGGTTCAGGTACTGGGCCACCTGGGGAAACGGGGAGGGGGAGTAAACTGAGAGGCTGCGAGCAAAGCGACACGCTTTGGGGTTTGAGTAGTGTGCCTGTCCAAAGGGCTGCATCGCCGCCCCCGTAGGCTGAGTGTTTGACAGTAAAGTATATAATAACACCGTCAGAGGACCAATACGAGACATCAGCATTGTCACTGAGGCCCTCGTGACTCTCAGGGAGAGTGAGCAAGTTTTACTCCCACGTGGAATAGTGAAATTTGTATGCTGCAGTTGAAGGACAGGGCATCAGGGGACAGGACAGTGCGATGCAAGAATGAGTGAACAAATAAGCAATAAATATGTGTAATGAGACCCCAGTATAAAATGACAAATGGATGACAGTATAGAACAGGGCTATTTCACTCACGGTCCTCAAGGGCCGAGCTCTCCTGATTTTCCAGCCTTCCTTCACCTGTGAGCCAGGTGTGAAGCCTCTGACCAATCAGAATCAGTAATTCTTAAACTAACTACCTGGGAGAACTGAAAACAAGGCCTGGATTTGGAATCGAGGGCCTGAATTGAATTGCCCTGGTTTAGAAGAATAAATAAAGTGCAGATACACACAAGGTGCAGAGAGTTACCTTAGCAGTACGGGAAACACACGGCTAGCCGCTCATACTCACGTCTCCGCTGACCTCACGCTCGTCGCCTTCCATCAGGAACATCTTCACCACGCTCTGCGAGGGCCCCTGCAGGAGGCGCTCCCACAGTGGGAAGTCACTGTCGCTCAGTTTTCTTTTCTCTGACGGACACATGAACACAGTCACAGAAACGGGCCGGATGGAAACCAGACGTCTGCCATTTCTCCACTGGGGTGACACCTAGTGCTTGCTTCCTGTACTGCAGGCTGCCACGTTGACAGTATAATCACATGTAAATCGGAGGACCTCTCGTTCCAGGAAATGACAGGAAGTCACGCACCTCCACTCTGGTGAATGCAGTACAAGGCGAACTCCATGGGATCATTCTCCACCTGGGGCCGTAAAAACAAGAGTCCCAGATCACTTCCTGGCCTATTTCTGCGTGTGACTGGAGGGATGACGGGAGTGGGGTCATCACCTTGAACTTCTTCAGAAGCTGCACTATAACCTCACGAGTCGTCATCGTGCTGCTGATGCGGACGTTGGTCGGGGTCCCGAACGACGGTGTGAATATCGAGGTCTGGGGGAGTAGTAAAAGGACAAGATCACATGCTTTCGTGGCATCATCAGTCTCTCACCTTCTGGAGGATATCTGGGCCCAAACAGGAAACTGCAAGCTGCAGTACCAAGGAGGGTAAACCCACAGCAAGCTTCCCATCGGAACATGAACACAAACCGTCATGTGACTCACAAGCCCCGCCTCCCCACCACAGACAGACCTCCCTCAGAACCTGGAACCTTGATCCGCTGGAGCCAGGTGGCACCCACCTTATAGTTGTAGAAGTGGCCGTTGATGGAGAAGCGGTGTTGCTGGGCCTGGTGCCTGTCCGACGTCCTGCCCCGTGCCCCCTTCACCAGCGAGGCGTCACTCATGGTGCGGAAAAGGTTGGAGGCCTCGTCCAGCTCTGCCTTGCGCCTCGGCACCCTCAACGTCCCACTCTCCAAGGGCGCTAGAGGGCACACAGTATCCCGTCAGGTTAGTTGTTCTGTGAACTCACGTAAACTCTGACCCCCCTCTGCTATTAAGCCGTTACCGACCGGCATTGTGGTCACGGGGAACCGCTTCCATCTGGTCGAGGTGGAGAAGGTCATCGAACTCGCCCCATCTGGTCATCCCCCTGAGAAGAGGCAGTCCGGGTTGTTTTTTTTCCAGACTACAAGAATGTCACCCCAGAGGTACCCAGGAGACACACTGACTGCGGCTACGTTCCAAAATACACAGTAAACTGCTGTCTCCTTTATCCTTTCACTCCTTAACTGCCTAGTGCTGTAACCCTGCCTGGAAAGTTCCGCCGGCTTGTCTGCCAGACGACCTTGGTACCACAGACCTCTTGGCCCCTAAAAGTTCGGTGGGGTCCGGGGACTCTGGAGATGCCGGCTGTGTCTCGTCTTGCATTTTGAGGTGAATGGGCATGCGCACCCCCCAGAAGATGACCAGCAGCCCTTCCAGTGTGACATGACTTCCTGTCTGTCAGGGGAAAGCCGGGTTTAACTGTGGGCATTAAATTACGGAAAAAAAAAACAAAAGTCTTCATGCGCTGCAGGTGAGCAGGGCTTTACCTCATGAAGAATCAGGTGCTGGTTGGTGTTATCTTTTAGGAAACAGTTGTACGTCCTGAGTAAAGACGATAACTCAGGCCTGAAAAGAGACGCAGAGAGAGGACAATTTTTAGTGTTCACAGTGCATACCTTTATTTAGTGACCTGTTTTATTCCCAGGCCCTTCTGGGGATATCAGACCACAGAGTTATTTACCAAGATAATATTATGGCTTTGAGACTTTCCCCGCAATGTGGTACTTTGCCCAGCGCCCAGGCATCACAGTCAGCCGCCCTTATCAGCTCCTGGAGGACTTCCTGTTCCTGGGCCTGACGAGGTCGCCGCCCACCTGACTCTCTGTGCTTATGTTACCGCTGCTGTGTATTAAATCACCACACAGTTCTGAAGATCTAGGCCGCTTGTTGGGTTGAGGCGCCCTCTCCAGTCAAAGCTTTACCGTTAGCCCTGCCTTCACGGCGACGCTCCTGCAGCTCAGCAGGGACGTGACGTCACTCCCCGGCACAGCTTTCTGTTTGGGATCCCCAACCAACTGGTTTGGGATCAGTCTTTTACAGCTCAAGGCCAGTACCTGGACAGGAGTCTTCCGTTTCCAACGGGGATGACCAGTGACGACGAGGCCATTCTGGGGCCATCCGGCGTCCGCACCCAAGGGACCTGCCACCGTTTCCTGGCCGGGCCTTCCCCTGCAGTTACAGAACCGACGTAAGCATGGGCACGCAGCCACTGGGAGAGAACACTCCTCAGGGCATTTAATTATGTTCATTTAGTTCATTTATCTATAGCTTTCATATTTCTTATTTTTATATTTCTTTCTGTCCTTGCTACTCGCTCATCATGTTCTTTACTTCTCATACAACTTACTCTCACCAAGGCCGTCTGACCCCCCGGCTCCAAAAGCCTGTATGAAGACCATAGATAAAGGGCCTGCTGCCCTCAGGGGGGGCAGAGACAGACACAGACAGACACTGAACCGGCCGTGTGAATCATCTTTCTGTAACATCTTCATTCTGTCTTAATAAACTGCTTAAGCTTAAGGAACCTGCCTCACCATTCAACTAAAAGAATGAAAAGATCTATAAGCAACTCAGTTAATTAGCCTGAAGAGACTGAACCTCTCGTAAACACAGCCTCGTTTGGCCAGGGGGCGCCACCTTGTGTCTGAGGCATCTCTGTGAGCATCACTGCAAGTCACCGAATCTCCTTTCAGTCCCGGGGACTGGCTGACACTCAGAGATGTTCTGCCTGAAATACTCGCCCTTCAAACAGACCGGGCCAAGTTTTAACAAGGTGACGAGCTCGTCAGCAGCCGTCTTGCTCAGCCTGAGGGGAAATGGGCTCGCAGCCATGAGTACCAAAGACACATAAAAGAAGGTTCCGTTTTGTTACAAACCGACACGCTCCGTGCCGCCTGACGCTGAATTAATTTGTCATGTGTGTTGTGTTCTCGTGTGACAGTGTCAGTCACCTACCTGGGTCTCCCTGCTCCCTCACCCTCTCCCCCTTCCCAGGTCTCCCCACTTCCCTACCCCCCTGCTCCCTTGCCCCCCAGCCCCCCGCCTGGGTCTCCCCTCTCCCCTACCCCCCATTCAGGTCTCTCCTCTCCCTCAGCCCTCTCCCATGTCTCCCCGCCCCCCCTTCTGGTTCGCCGCACTTTTATTCCTAAACTCCAGGCTGACACGCTGTGAAAGACGTCACCGAGAGCACCCCCGCCTGCCCTCACACGCCCCGTCAGTCCTGGAGTGGAATCCGCTGCCTGGGGGGGCAGAGGTGGGCCTCACCCTTTTCTGCTGAGTGGGGTATGTATGTGAAATCCACACGCCTCGTTCTACCCACATTACCAAACAGCAGTGTGCAGGGTCCCTTCTGGAATCACGCTTCACACTCACGTTTCCGCGACCAGGAAGAGCCACTCAGAAAGTGAAACCGTAACAGCAGAAACCCGGTACGTTTCTATTTTAAGACGGCACAAATGAACAAACCGCCTGCCGGACCCCTCGACCCCTTAACTACGGTTAATCATTTTCAGCCAAGACGGCAGTTGACGGCGGCAGCTCACCTGCGTCAGCGCCAGGCGGGGAAACCCCGCGTGGGTCCTGTGCTGCCTCCGATGGCGTGGCGGTGGGGTGTCAGGGAGGCCCCGCTGCCCTGGGGGTCTGAGGCGGGGGCAGGGGCTGGCCGTGTGTCACCGTACACACACGCGTGTTCCGAAGGCTAGTACAGCTCACCTTGCCCTGGTGCAGGCTGGGAATGTTTACCTAGGTGCAGCGTAAAGTCAAATGCTGGGAGTTACACACCCCATACAGGTGTTTAACCGTTTCCTTCCCATGGGAATCAGCTTTTATGAGTAGCCAGACACTGTCATCCGTCTCTAAAGCATTAGCGCTGACTATCTAAATCTGTCCCTTTCAAACAGATGATACTGTGTAAATAAAAAGCACCCACTAAAAACTAGCAGAGCTGCTTCTGTGCTCCTGGCTTTGTTTACATATTCTGAAACATGATACAGCTGCAGCTGACAATCACCACCCAGCCTTTATGTAAAGCGGGACGCGCTGTTGCCTGGAGACGGCTGACCCGCAACAGCGTGAGGGCAGTGACCAGTCCCGGCAGGTGACCACATGTTTTCTCTGGGTTTTTAACCCTTTACCTAAATTTCTTTGACTCATGCGAGCATCCAGAGATGAACATCATCTGATACCTCTGCTGTTTTTTGGAGATCTGGTGTTCCCTTGCTCATGTCAAAGGCTGTATTCCAAAGCACCCAAAAAGAATATGGCTGCGGTTCTGCTGTTGACAGGCAGGGGGTGCTATTGGCACAGAAAGCGATATTGGCGTTGAGTCACCGGTGCCGTCACCCCTGGGGTATTCAGCACAGCTGTCATGTCATCAGGGCCATTCTTCTGCATTCTGTCCTGTACACGGTAGCCATTTTAATGCTTATTTATTTTTTAAATTTGTAATTAATCTCTTGCTGTCAGGGAAGGTCAAAGCCCATGTGGCACCCAAAGTAAGCCTCACTATGCGAGACAAAAAAAACGTCAAAAAAAGAACAAAATGGGAGTAGAAAAATAAATTATTGTTTGATATATTTTAATGCATAATATAATTATATAAATAATATAGTAGGTAAAGTTAGTAATAAAATAAATATATTTATATACAAATAATAAAATAACAGGTGCTTTGAAGAAAATTAAAACAATTAAAAACACCCTTCACACAGCATGCTATTAGGACATTACTTCAGGCTGAATAGATGCACTTTCCTTAAAGCAGGGTTTGGTGACGTCTTTGATGTCTGGACAGCAGAGTTCCGCACTTCTCTGATGAGAAAATGCAGGTATACCGCTGAGCAGGCAGGTAGCGAACAGCCGCCAGGCTAACTCTGCACATCCATTTCCTAGCAGGGAAAACAAGCTGGAATAAAACGGCAGAATTCACTCACCCCTCTCCTCTTTCTCCTGTCCCTTTTATTGTATTGGGCTCGTGGCAACTTTTGCTTCTTCATTTTGAAATATTCGTCATCTTCTTGTCACCATGTAACTCACAACGTTTTCCTTTGCTAACCAGACAGCATCCTTGACACCTGTTCTGTGCCGGGCCTGCAGAGGGCGCCAGTACTTCCTAGGACACCAGTGGTCTGCTAAGTCGGTGGCCCTCAGCATTTGGTGACCTCGGCGGCCGCCTACGTGACTTCATGGGCTGACCGGCCTGCTTCTTCTGACCATCAGCTTCTCCAAACTCAGCCTCCCTGCTTCCCGCTGTCCATGGCCCCCAGTCGCTAGTCCCCACGCCCTGCATGACGCTGTGTACGAATGACCCCACGGGGTAACGTCACCGCATGGCGGCTGTGTGACCGAGCAGACTGGGCTCTCTGTCCCTCGTGCTACACTGGCCATCTCGAACTATGGGCCGGCACACACCAGGCACGTGACTGGGCATTTAACGTCGGGCAAGAAAGCAGGCCGTGGATGTTCTGTACTACCCCTCACCCTCTGGAATGTTGCCTGCGACCGCAGACGGCGCTCTGAGAAATGTCACTCCTTGCCTAAAATAAATGTGGGCAGTGGAGTGACAGGTGGGGCCACACAAAGGCGATGGGAATGCGAGGGCCGGATCCCCTAGTCTGCATGCATGCCCCTGGCCACACCCCCCTAGCCATCTTGCTTGTGGCATTGTTTAAACAGGACCAATTTCCCCATTGATCTTCTCCTTTTCCCGGGACCCTGAAGTGACCCTGTGCAAACAGGTACATTTTTTCTCTCCGGGGCAGCTTCTTCATGACCCCCCCACAGGGCGGTCAGCTGAATAAGCCACCCCCCCCACCCTCCCCCCGCCCCGCGTCATTGTACGGGCCCTCACCGGGGCCCCGTCAGGCTGCAGGCTCGGCAGCTGCGGCCGTCAATCTTGACTTCTCGCTGCTGAAAAAAGACCACCCCCCCCCCCCGTGCCGGCCCACTGCCCCCCTCCCACATGCCGACGCGCAGCATGGCCGGGAGCGAGCCGGGCGTGGGCGGGCATGTGGAAATGCTGTAGTTGACAGAGATTCTGACGGTGGAGATTTCCTGAGACTTCGCTTTCGGGGATTAAAGATGGGGATCCGCGTGACCCCCCTGCTCCTCCTGACGGCCCTTCGCCTGAGCGTCGGACAGCACAAAGGTCGGTCCCAACCGCGGGTCGCAGGAACGGGGTGCAGACAGCCGCATTCGCAGACAGTCGGGGGAGCATGATCACAGTTTAGAACAGATGCCCATTCTCTGAAGGATGTTCGTGTGCCGAGTCGCTACCTGGGAAACGGCGCCGGAGGTATCTGACGGAGGTGGTGCTGGGTGGCGGCTCGATGCTCGCGGTGAGACAGCTGGTGCCGGGGTCCCACTGACCACAGAGAGAATGACTGTGAGGCCAGTTCAGCCTGCGAGTTTGCGGCTCGTGGAACAAGCGGACGTATCCTGATACAAGCACCGTGATACATAACCATGTTCACGGCTGCTGCGATCTACAACCGCAGCTGTGACTAATCACTGGAAAGACAACATAAGTTAATGCTCAAAAACGGCCTGCAGTTAAAATAAATGAATTGATGGCTGTTAATAACATTAATAATATTAATAGCAGTGTTATTATTAAACTGGAAACATATGTCCTGTGAAACAATGTAGTGATGATATACTCACCGTTTGTTAGGGAGACCCGGCTGTTTACAGATATACTCACCGTTCGTTAAGGAGGCCTGGCTGTGTATGGATATACTCACTGTTTGTTTGGGAGGCCCGGCTGTTTATGGATATACTCACTGTTTGTTTGGGAGGCCCGGCTGAGTACGGATATACTCACTGTTTGTTTGGGAGACCCGGCTGTTTACAGATATACTCACCGTTCGTTAAGGAGGCCTGGCTGTGTATGGATATACTCAATGTTTGTTAGGGAGGCCCGGCTGTGTACGGATATACTCACTGTTTGTTTGGGAGGCCCGGCTGTGTACGGATATACTCAGTGTTTGTTTGGGAGGCCCGGCTGTGTACGGATATACTCACTGTTTGTTTGGGAGGCCCGGCTGTTTATGGATATACTCACTGTTTGTTTGGGAGGCCCGGCTGTTTACGGATATACTCCCCGTTTGTTTGGGAGACCCCGCTGTTTACAGATATACTCCCCGTTTGTTTGGGAGACCCGGCTGTGTACGGATATACTCACTGTTTGTTTGGGAGGCCCGGCTGTTTACAGATATACTCACTGTTTGTTTGGGAGACCCGGGTGTACGGATATACTCACTGTTTGTTTGGGAGGCCCGGCTGTTTACAGATATACTCACTGTTTGTTTGGGAGACCCGGGTGTACGGATATACTCCCCGTTTGTTTGGGAGACCCGGGTGTACGGATATACTCACTGTTTGTTTGGGAGGCCCGGCTGTTTACGGATATACTCACTGTTTGTTTGGGAGGGCTGGCTGTTTATGGATATACTCAATGTTTATTAGGGAGGCCCGGCTGTTTACCGTTCATTAAGGAGACCCGACTGTGTACGGATATGCTCAATGTTTGTTAGGGAGGCCCGACTACTTATGGATATACTCACTGTTTGTTAGGGAGGGCTGGCTGTTTATGGATATACTCAATGTTTATTAGGGAGGCCCGGCTGTTTACCGTTCATTAAGGAGACCCGACTGTGTATGGATATACTCACTGTTTGTTAGGGAGGCCTGGCTGTTTACGGATATACTCACTGTTTTTCAGGGAGGCCTGGCTATTTGCAGATATACTCACTGTTTGTTAGTGAGGCCCGGCTGTAAACGGAAGTTGACCATTAGCTGCTTGATATATGTCATGTGATCAGTCTGGAGATGCTGCTCATTTTCACTGAATCATCCATTTGCGACCCGCACCATAACCCCCCCTTCCCTGGGCCCTCCAACCTCTCACTCCACTGATCTGGGGTTTGGCGGCTAGCCCTCCCAAGGAAATCTCACCGGAACCAAGGTCAGGGCTTGGGGGGGGGGGGTGCGGGGGGCAGTATTCATCTGAGAACTTTGGCCACACAGCACCTGTGATGCGTCCGACTGTGACCCACAGCAGCTTAATCCTGGACTGCAGTTCTGAGCAGATGGCTGCAATTACCAAATGTTAATTAAATAAGCACAAACGATCAAGTGGGAAATCTCTGCACTATCACATGCTTCTGTCTAGGGTGCCGCTAATCATGTTAGCAACTCATTCACTGGAGTCCCCCTTTTGCCAGCAGACAATTCCTTCCCATCCCAAATAGATTTGGTGATTTGTTAAAGCCAAATTTTCGTTTTAACCATGGTTTGAATGCATAATGTTGGCAGTGACATCATTGGTTCATGCTGCAGTGAAGTACTCAAGGTCTCAAGGTCACTGGACCTCTCGTAAACCCACCGTCAGTCATATCCAGAGGTGTCCCCTTGAGAAGGTGACCTCCAGATAAAGAAACAAAGTTCAACATGTTACAGTGTGACAGATGGTTTCACATGCAGAGATATTTGTCCGTAAATCAAAATACACTGCAAACAAACAGCTCCTTTAAATGACATTCTTATGTCAGATGACTTCATGAGCGTGCCATTTGGGTGAACTCATCTGCATTCCTTTCTCAAATTGTCTTGTCGTGAACTTCTTGGGCCATTTTATATGAAGACGGTTTTAATTTCTGACACCAAAATTAGAGCACCACCCACGTGCTGCACTGTAGCACTCACCGTCGACCCACAAAATCACGTTGACAATCTGTCACCCATAGACGGGATTCATGGGAGTGCTCTAACCCTTGGGAATTGCTGCTTTACCCCACAGCCCCTCGTATCACCACCTTGCTGGACACTCTGGATGTGCTGCCTGACCACAATGTCACTTTCATCTGCGAGGTGGACGCACGGCCCATCGCCGACGTCACATGGACGAAAAATAACTTCCAGATTGGGTAAAGGGTGCATTTATAAGCACGTTTCCTTAAGTCTGTATGCCGCAGTATGTCCCGCCTGGATCAGTGAATTGCGTTAATCTTTATGCATCAGGAATTTGACACCTCGGCGTGTCAATGTGCCCCCAGTACGATCTGTCCCTGTCCCACCTCAGGCCCTACGACCCGCGATACATGACCAGGGAGAATGGGCAGATGCTGGTTATTCCCAACGTCAGGGACTCGGATAGCGGCGAGTACTGCTGTGTAGCCAGCAACGGGATTGGAGAACCGGCGAAGAGCTGCGGGGCCCTGCAGCTGAAGATGAGTATGTGGCACGGCACAGCTCCACCTCTAAGGGTTGGCGGAGGTTTCTGGGTTCTCCCTGCTATCCTCGCAGCAGTAGAACTTTATCTCGGGCCCAGTGGAGCATCTGAGAGACACTGACATGGTGACTAGGTCATGGTACTTGGCAAATGAATCATCTGATCAGGTAGTCAGGCTTCAAGCTGGTACAAAGCATCCACAGTCAAATTTCCCCTAGAGATTCCAACTTATAGAAAGCTGACACGCGTTAACTAGTCCGGGATAGTCTGTGTGTTATATGTAGGGATGGGGTGGGGGTGTTATTTGAGATATTCTTGACACTTTCTGAAACGTGTCTTCCAGAGCCTCAAATCAAGAAACACCCAAACAACGTCACGCAGCTCATAGAATCGAAGGTTGTGCTGCAGTGTGTGACCATGGGCAACCCCAAACCGGACATCAACTGGATGAAAGATGAGGATGTCGTCAAGGTGACTCCGGCAGGAATAATGCCGTCGCTGTAATGTAGGCCATCCATTCTGCATTAGCACTCCCACCAAAACATCTTTAAGAATGATGAGGAAGCACATTAATTTAGGAGATGGATGTATTGTGCAAGAGGCATTAGATGGTCTTTGTTTACATGTCATTAGAGGTTCCGACCATTAACCAGCTGATAAAAGGTGTCAACTCTCACGAAAGCTGCGAATCAAAGCCTCAGTCACTTCCTGTTCTTCTGAGCCATCGGTTCTCTATTTAGCCCAGATGGAAAACTCCTCCCACTTGGCCACCAGCAGCCAGTCTTAAAGTTCAATGCAGATTTCGAAACCGTTGATGCAGCAGGGCCACAGCTAAATCCGCTTTCTACTCCACTGTAGGTTAGTGACCGGATAACCATCCTGGACTATGGCTCTCTGAAAATCAGCAACATCAAAAAAGAAGATGGTGGCCAGTATCGTTGTATAGCAAAGAACAGCTTTGGGATGGCTGTGTCGAGACCAGCAACACTTGAGGTGCAGGGTGAGTGGGGGGCACCTTGTTTGGGACTTATCTAGCAGGTCATAAGGTGGAGTTCTGTCAGGACTGACAAAAGCTGCAGAATATCAAAAAGTAAGCAACATCCCTTTAAGGAAGGAATATTTAAAAACTTTAAAACCTCCAATGTACCAAAACAGCCCAGATCCTAAAGCATTAGTCACACCCCCAAAAGACTTCTTTAAGAACATACCTCATACCAGAAAAACCCTCCTAAATAAACCCAGCTGACCCTGATTACATCTGAACGAGGCCAGTGCTCTCATCAGGGTCAGCTGCCTTTCGGCTCTTGTTGGCACGGGTAGGAGATCGATCACCATGGAGATGCCCCCCTTGCCCCCACCCCAATGGCTGTTGCCTTGCCTCCCACTGAACCATAATATTTCTCATATTTTTAACTTTAAAGTTGGGTGTCATGTCTGGAAGGGGCAGTCTTAGACTCCTCGCTGAAGCAGCCTCAGAACCGGGACAAAGGCACAAATTAGTCACGCCGGTCCACATCACAGGTTGTAAAAAAACTGAACGGACAGACGAGATGAACGAGATTGAAGGATGGGTCACGCACCTTTGAAAAGTGAAAAAGTGTGAATGTCTTCTTCTTCAGTCCACATATTTATCCAAAAGTGAGCCACAGATGGTTTAGTGGGTAGCAGCACCGCCTCAGGCCTCAGGCGTCGGAAGTTCCAGTCCTGCCCTTAGTCAGAAGGTGTGGAGAACAGTGCACATTCTCCACACATCATGTGGCTCTCCTCTGGGCTCGAAGTGACCTTACCTATGGTAGGTGACAGTTAGATACACAACTGGGCAGGTCACACCCCTGAGATTGTGGCACATACTCATGGGACCTGAAACTCACACGTCCAGTAAACCATGACAAAGTAAGCAGCGCTATGATTGGCCGATGGGCGTGGTGACACGCTCATGGGAAACAGACCTTATCCAAGGCAACAGCAAAGATGAGGAGGTAGGAATGTTCTTTAACGGGGGTTCAAAAGCAGATAATGTGACTGTTCTTAAATGGAGGATTATTCTTGTGGCTGTGTGTTTTCAGGCTGAGGATGTAGACGTGACTTGCAAACCAGCGGGTACATTTATAATGAACATCATGCTGTTCTCAATCTCTCCCTCCGGCCCGTAGTTCCCGCCCGGATCCTGAAGGTCCCGAAGGAGAAACGCGTTCCCTTCGGGTCCGAGGTCACGATGGAGTGTAACACCACTGGTAACCCAGTCCCAACGATAACATGGCTGGAAAACGGGAATGCGGTGAGTCCCCTTCCTGCTGGGAATGCCAGCGGGGGCCTGTGTGTCACATGCTTGGGTTTCCCGGCATGGAACAGTGGATTCAGGTTAAATGTCAGGGGTCATGTGTGCCCCATATGCTCTGGGGAAATGCGCTGGGGTAGCCCACAATTTGCAGCACGGAAACTCCTGGGAAATGTAGATGCCCAATTTGTGCCACAAGAGGGAATATACAGGATACCAGCACATCCACATCTCTGAGATAATAACTCAGGGTTATTAAATCATCACATGAAAGGTTTTTAAGGGCTATAGCCCATATGAGAGCCTGTGATTCATCTCACAGAGTCAGGATAGAGACACAGGGTCCTAAATCTCACCAGAAGGGCTATACTAAAGACGCACTATGATCCATGAGGGTTGTCATGGCCAAGATTACTACACAAGGAGTGAACTGTCAGGAAAGCTGTCTGTTTACAGGATGCGCAAGGCCAACCTGAGTGAAATGCTGAGATATGCTTAAGAATGAGGACTTCCTCCCACACCCAAGGGTTTGTTCAGCCATCTCAGATGCTGGTTCTCAGATGCATCCATGTTGCGTTTACTCAGATCTCCGGGGCTTCCGTGGAGGAGACGATCGTGGGTGATGTGGTGGCCTCCATTCTGCGCGTCGTGGTAAACAAGCCGGCTCTGTACACCTGCCTGGCCACCAACCAGCCCAGTGGTGTAGCCAACATGGCCAAGGCCACCGCCAAAGTCACCATCTCAGGTAAAGAGTCTGAGGAGTTAGTGATGGCCGCTAATGGCCCACACCACCTGATGTGTGGGTAATGCGCGCTTTTGGTGACGTAAATGACACCACGCAGTCCCCACCCCGACTACCTGACATCAGCTGTGGACTGGCATCGGCAGAAGCCTCTCACATTGGTTCTGAGACCAAGGCCATTGGTAAACAGGCACATATTGCAGTCACACTTCATAATCCCCCTGGAAATTCGATCCCGAATTCTAAGATGGACAGAAGTCCAGAGCAGAAGTTCTGTTATACCCAGAGTAGGCATTTTACCATAGTAAAAGAGGGAGAACGAAAGGTTGTGGTCCAAGACCATTTGCCTGGGCTCACAAGTGCACTACTTTAAACAGCACCCTGGTGAAATCTCCAGCAGGTTTAAAAAGACGAGCCCCCCAGTTTGAAACTCACACTGCTCAGAGCTAAAGATGCCATTTGCAGTTGCTTCATGTCAAACAGTAGGGGGAGTAAGAGAGGAGCCCTTGTAAGTGTTGGCTGTTTTTATTGCCGACCCGTGCTGGATATAAATACCGTGACCCTGATTCATCATCAGGCACTGCGAATGCGAAGCAGGTAAATCACCATGTCATCCCGTGGGTCATCTATCACACACGGGCACTAGATCGTTCCTCTTCCATTGCGGGGAGGGGCCGCTGTTGATGGAGACGCCCATGTCTGCTCACAGAAGAGGTCCTGCTCACCTACCTTCACACTCTGGGGTGAACACCAGCCCTTCTCTGCCGCTTTAGGCTTTTGCTTTAGGTTTTCGATGAGATAAGTCTCTGCTCTGGTTCGCAGCAATCCCAAGCTCGGCCGGTAGTTTTTAGTCACAACCACAGATGTCACACAAACACAAGCAAGTAGCCCATAAATTCAGGTCAGCTATAAAGGTCAGAGGGCTGTTAGGACAGTCAGAGGGGAGAATGCCCCCCTCCCCAAGGGGCTTGCCATGGACACAGGGGCTGGGTTGGCCACGGCCAGCCATCTAAAATCCACACCTGTTCCCACACAAAGCACCGACAAACAAAGCATGATCGGCCCCTCACAGAAGCATGGCCTCCTCGTGGGTGCAGACCAAAACATGGCTCCTGTCGAGTGCACACTGTAAAAGCTTCTTCTTCCTCCTGGGTCCTGTTCTGCTGGTGCTGGCCCAATCCTGCGACTCCCCCATAGAATGGAGGTAAGTCTGGCTCCTTGCTCTCGTTTGTGTGTGTGTGTGTGTGTGTGTGTGTGTGTGAGTGTGTGTGTGTGTGTTAAGGGGGGGGCGGGGAGACAAAGATTTCAGGTAAGGTCTGGTTTGCTCCCGACATGAGAGTTCACTGGGAGAGGTACTGTACAGTAGAGGGACTGGGAATGACATATGCCAGGATTCACAAGCACGAGACAGGAGTGAAGTGCTATTTAGAAAAGTTGGCACTGTTTAATTAAATCTATCTATTAACAGACGCAAAATACTACTTTGCATACATTAAATTAAAGAGTCTTTGGCCAGCCTTGCTGGAGATGGAATGTTTTCCCGTCATCTATTCAAGCAGGCGGATCAGTTTCCACTTAGTGTGACGTATTTTACCAGCAAGTCTCTCACAAAGTGCTTCAGAGTCATTTCCAGTCAGTCGATCAATAACTCTGCAGATGCCAGTGGCAGTGAATCCGAGTAGCAGTGAATCCCAGGGACAGTGAATCCCAGTAGCAGTGAATCCTAGTAGCAGTGAATCTCAGTGGCAGTGAATCCCAGGGGCAGTGAATCCCAGTAGCAGTGAATCCCAGGGGCAGTGAATCCTAGTAGCAGTGAATCCCAGTGGCAGTGAATCCCAGGGGCAGTGAATCCTAGTAGCAGTGAATCCCAGGGGCAGTGAATCCTGAACCACGGAGAGTATGAGTTTCAGTAGATAAATCGGCCTCTGTGAAGGTCTGAGTGCAGAAACCCCAGCGTGCACATACTGTAAGCAGGCATGGCCCCCGTTTCTCTGGGTAACACCCCACTGTTTACCTCACGGCCGCATCTTCCAGAAAAACATCACAGGCATCAGTGGCCTTTCTGTCCGTCAGAACCACTCTGAAAGTTGGCTTGCACCCCCATGAGGTGTCGCAGGCTCATTTCTGTAGCAGTACGTCACATACATCCGGGGTGCAGGAGGTGCCAAATGCCAGGGGGAGGCTTCAATTCTGCAGCGTGATATGCAGGGGAACCCGCTATGCTGTACGTCATGTTGGGCGGTGTTACAGGGCGCGCTGTAATGTTCATACGTGTTCAGAGTGCGTCACTTGGCATGTCACGACTTACTGTGTGTTACAGGGCGCGCTGTAATGTTCATACGTGTTCAGAGTGCGTCACTTGGCATGTCACGACTTACTGTTTAGTACAGTAGTGCGGTACAGAAACACCTTATATACGGTACCTTTCAAAAGTCACAGGCCGCTAAAAAAATATTTAAATTATCTTCATGCTGGTGTAAAACTATTATGTCAAAGTGTATCAGCTTAGCCATTTCAAACCTTCCGGATTTAATAATAATAATAATTAACCTTTATTGTCCCTCATGGGGAAATTCTTTTTACACCTCCCTCAACTTGCACTTTGCAGAGTAAGCTGTCTGCGAAGGGCAGCCACCTGTTGGGGCGCCCAGGGAGCTGGGGGTTAAGGGCCTTGCTCAAGGACCTTTATAGCAACAGGCCGACATTCTCATGTATTTTTTAGCAAATATACTGGCCAGATAAATAGTTAAAAAAAAATTCTTTGCCTAGGACTCTCACGCAGTCCTGTATATTTAGTACATTTACTGTCATCGAACTGTCTTGCCGTGTTTAGTAATACGTTTTACAAGCATACATTTTACTGCGCTGTCTTGCCACTTCATACAGAAAGTAGGCTTTGCATGTCCAGCTTATGCTCATCTTACCACCCCCTACAGGCTATACAAGGGCAGTGCGGGGTACTGCAGCACCTACCGGGGGCAGGTGTGTCAGGGCGTGCTGAGGAGGGATGCCCTGCTGTTCTTCAACGCCTCGCTGCATGAGCCCGAGGACACGCAGGAGCTGCAGGCGCAGGTGGCCTGGTCCCAGCTGGACAGCAGCGGCGCCCTCTGCAGGCCAGCCGCCCGCGCTCTCTTCTGCCACCACGCCTTCCAGAATTGCAACCCCTCGGGGCAGGGCCCCACACCTAAGCCCGTGTGCAGGCAAGCGGGGGCCCGACAGGGAGAAGGGGGTCAAGTAGATGGCTGCCCCTCCGAGCTGTGCTGAGTCCAGCTGGCTGTCAAAGCTGCTGCCCGAGTTCACGTTACGTAAACAGTCACAAGAAGCTGCCGGTGCAGGAATGTTCTGCTCTTCTCTCCACTGTTCCGTGACCCTGTAGCCACACATGTTCCAACCCCCTCAGCCAGACCCCCTCTGACTGTTTTCTGGCAATGGGTGGGGGTGTGCTGCATTATTTCAAAGCTCTTGCCACCCCCCTCCCCCCATGCAATTGCTACATCGTTTGAAAAGATCCGTTTGTTTTACAGTTTAATCGCTCGTAAGAATTACTGCTCCTGAGCCATGAAATGTGGGGTTTCAAAGCCAAAATATCACTTTTAAAGAACATTCTGGAAGCAGAAACAGTCTCCTTCCTATAACTCTATCTGAGCTTCGTGACTCAGAAACAAATATCTTAAAATCCAGCTGGGCTGGGCGGTACTGGGATTAATCCAGTGTCACCTACTGGCTGGATCAGACCAATTCGAGTCAAGTCATGCATTAAAGGTCCTCTGTTCTTTCCAGAGAGCACTGCCTAGTGGTGAGGGACCTGTACTGCCACGGAGAATCGCTCTTTAAGGAGGACTCTGGCAGCAAAGGGATGTATTCCTCCGGGGCTCGCATCACGCTGCCTGACTGCACACTGCTGCCCAGCCAGAAGGATGACCTCACAGCCTGTACCGCGGTCCCGTTCGTTGGTGAGTCCCACCCCGAAGAGGCTGTCCACGCCATTGGCAAAAGTGCGTCGCTCCGGCATCCCATTGGCTGACGTGCGGCATTTTGGCATCCCATTGGCTGGCACTGGTGTGTTCCTTTTGAAAGTTTCGTGACATTAAAACTCTAGTCATTTAGATTCAGCCTCGCAGGCAACCCTGCCTTTGCTCACCAGTGGTGAAGCAGAGAAAATGGCCACATTTCACCTGGCATGTAGCTAGCTTACGATCAAGTTCTTAAAGGAAATTTTGACAAAGGTACGTTTCAGGTTTTAGCTGAGATGGACTCTGGCTAAAACACACAACCAGGTAATAAACAGCGGACACAGAGTTGGGCCAAGATACACAACTTGGGTAAAATAAACTGGGATGCAGAGCTTGCAATTTCCTGCATTGGTTGTAGCCTGTGGGAGCGTAAAGTAGCGTGCGTGACACGTTAAATAGCTGCTCTGGACCCCCCCGGGGAGCGAGCGCTGTGCTTTGCCCCATTTTCAGTTGGGATCAGGAACTCCGCTGCCAAAAAAAATGCAAGAGGAGGGAGCTCAGTGTGTAAAACAGCACAGCTGAGTAAACGTTTCTGTGCCTGGTTTTCCAAGCTCCCCTTCCTCTCCCCAGAGCCCCATCCCCCCATTCCCTGCCCCTTACAGGATGGCCGTTGTTTGCACAGGTTGACGTTTTTACTTGTGCAGCTTTCCATGGGTCAGAGTGTATCAGCTCCCACTCTAACTGGCAAAGGTGCCTTCAAATCTGCCTGAATCAAGCCACATGTGCATCTGGCAGAATTGAGGTGCCTGGGTATCTACCAGAATCGAGGCAGCCATGTATCTGCCTGAATCCAGGTGTCCGTGTATCTGCCTGAATCGAGGTGCCCGTGTATCTGCCTGAATCGAGGCACCCATGTATCTGCCTGAATCGAGGTGCCCGTGTATCTGCCTGAATCGAGGTGCCTGCATACCTGCCTGAATTGAGGTGCCCACGTATCTGCCTGAATCGAGGTGCCCGTGTATCTGCCTGAATCGAAGTGCCTGGTTACCTGTCTGAATTGAGGTGCCCGTGTATCTGCCTGAATCGAGGTGCCCACATATCTGCCTGAATCGAGCATCTCTGTTTTCTTGCAGATCTCAAGAAAGACCAAATTACCAGTAAGTGATTCCGCCCCCGCCCAGTCCCAAAAGGACTCTGTTCCCTAAAAGATTGTGTCCTTACTACATGGTGCGTCTAAAAATATTGTAAGCTCCTGTGAGCTCATTCTGACTATTTGACTCTTTCACATTTTCAGCAAAATGCTACGCCGACCGGGGACAGTTTTATCAGGGGACGGTCAGTGTCACGCTTTCAGGCGTGCCGTGCCAAAGATGGAGCCAGCAGGTAAAGAAGCCCAGGATTCATCTCCCTTTTTATGGAAAGTGCTTAACTCTCTTTTTTTTAAGTGCATCACTCAGCCTGGGAGTATTACAGCACAGTACTAAATTATGAACATGTAATTATATCTCTGTACGTGGAAAACAAGCGTGCAATTACACAACTGTGTTTTGGATGGGAGCAGCATCATCAATCTAATGAACCACTGAAGATGGGTGGGCGAGGGGGGGTAGGGGTCAGTGACACTACAGTGAGGCCCATGTTACTGCCCCCCCCCCCCACAAATATCACAGATATGAACTCTGCATTAACTAGTCACAGACAGGATGGGGCTGCACTGCCATTTATGCCTTCATTGTGTCAGATGGAGACCGAAAGGTTCTGACCCAATGGGTTTGACATGTATTGATGTGACAATGGCCCCCTTCCCTGCAGTGTACTGGTCAGCACGGGTGGCTTAAGCACCAATCACGCACACTAGTGTGTAATCAGTAAGCGTGTTTGGCACTGATTACTCACACTAACATGTACTGATCACTCACTCTAGCATGTAATCAGTAAGCATGTTTGGTACTGATCACTCACACTAGTGTGTAATCAACAAGCGTGTTTAGCACCGATCACTCACACTAGTGCAGGGGTGAGCAATCTTATCCAGAAACAGCTGTTGGGTGTGTGGGTTTCCGCTACAACTCCCCAATTAGATTACTAATTAGAGGACTGATTGGCTGAATTGGCTGAAGAGTACTCACACCGGGGTTTGAACAGCTGACCTACAGGTTATCCTAAAGACCTGCCTACACACTGGCCCTTTGAGGATAAGTTTGCCCATCCCTGCACTAGTGCATAAACAGTAAGCATGTTTAGCACTGATCACTCACTCTAGCGGGTGAGACTCACCTGGGTGACATAACACATCACTTGACTCTATAGACACCCTACCAAAGCACCAGCAGCCCACGGTTCGGTCATGTGACCATGGTATCCACATAGCTGAAGGCTTTCACTCTCGTATCCCAATGCTGTGACTGGATAGATGGATGGATCCATCACTTGTGACTTGTTTACCACCCTCTGCCCTTAAATCTCCACCGAAGGATCCCCACACGCACCGGCTTTCCCCAGAGGTCATTCCCGAGCTGCGCAATGCAGAGAACCACTGCCGGAACCCCGGAGGGGAGAACGAACGGCCCTGGTGCTTCACCTCCAACCCATACCTGCGGTGGGAATACTGCGACGTGCCTAGATGTGGCGATGGTGCGTCACAGTTGCATGTTTACTTTCTTAAATTAGTTTATAGACTATCAAACTTTATTAATTGAAGACAGCAGCATAACACAAATGCTATGAAGTCAAGGGCTGCATCTTACACTATCTGCACATTACAGGTTTGTGAAATTCTCCTATTATGCCTTATTCTACCTGTGCAGTGCCGGCCCCGGTGTCCACGGTCCCCCGCCAGCTGGCCCCTAATGTGCCCCTGTCGGGGTCCCCTACCTACTCAATGAGCATCATCATTTTCGTCATGGCTGGCTTGGCTGCATCTGCTTTCCTCGTCGTCATCGCGCTCATGTGCCACCGCAGGAGAAAGCTGTGGAAAAGCAGGAAGAGGTTTCCATTATTTCTCCCAACTTTTCTCCATATGTTCTGGAATAGCCGAATATTCCCGTCATAGACAGCGCTCTTGGAATTGTGCCATCAGCCACTTGCAATGGCATTCATTGCGCAAGCCAATAAGCTTTCACACACACCCTTGTAGGGGTCGCTGAAGAAAGAGACATGTGAGAAACCCAGTCAACAGAGAGCTGCTTTTCTGGGGCCTCTTTCAGACAGATGGGGCGAATTTTGTACACTTCTGACACACACTTGTCTGCCCAAAATCCAGAAATGTGCTAATTATTCACAGATTATGTGACATCGTGAGTTTGGCCTGGGGAAGACCTTAACTCATTGTCAGATTTTCATGCTATGGTGTCACACTAATTACAGTGTTGCCATGGCATTTTACCTAGAGTGATGGAGACCGCCATGCTGACCACCCTTCCCTCGGAGCTTCTGCTAGATCGCCTTCACCCCAACCCCATGTACCAACGCCTACCACTGCTGCTCAATACTAAGCTCCTGAACCTGGAGTATCCACGTAACAACATTGAGTACGTCAGGGACATCGGCGAGGGGGCCTTTGGCCGAGTCTTCCAAGCCAGGTGAGGGCGACGTTGCTTCTTGTGGATGGTGGTCCTGGTTACTTTGTGTCCTTACAATGTCTAAGGTGACCACTTTATCCATGTCGGGGCACAGTATGAGCTCGAAAAGCGTTTATAAACTACCATTTCTCTTAAAAAGCCCTGGATTTCATTTTAGCACCGAGGTCTTGCTATATGCTGATTGGTCAGTCTCCTATAATAATACATCTGTCACTGATGTTAATGGGAAACAGCTGGATAAGTCTTTCAATCAAGAAAAGAATCCAGTTAAAGCATGAGAAGAATCGAACTAATTAGCCCAGCACAGGAGCCTTTCAGTTTGAAAGTAGTTTTTGAAGTAGCTCAAATTGTCCTCCCTGACAAGGATTAGATCAGGGTTCTTCAACTCTGGACCTCGATTCCAAATCCAGGCCGTGTTTTCAGTTCTCCCAGGTAGTTGTTTAATAATTACTGATTCTGATTGGTCAGAGGCTTCACACCTGACTGACAGGTAAAGGAAGGCTGGAAAACCAGCAGTGCTCGGACCTCGAGGACCGTGATTTGAATAACCCTGAATTAGATGGTCACTCTAACAATGTTAAATATAAGGTTCTCAAAGGGTTAGTCTTCTGGGGCCACTATACTGTATGCTGACTGCTAGCTATTTTAAATAACATTTTGCCAAAAATAATAATGAGTGTGCATTTAAAAATAGCAAAATTGAGCCAAAATTTAGAAGCAAAGCATATATATATTATAGTGTTTTGTTTTTAGTGTATCTTCACATAAAATGAAAGCATGCCTTTTTAAAAATATCCTGTGCTCCCATATTAACCGACAGACCAGCGGACGTTACGTTAAGGTAACTCAGACTCATTCCCTGTTAGCAGCCAGATTTGACGGCTAGCAAAACAGCATCTATATTTTCGTCTCAGAGTCACTAGATCGCCCAGGTCGAAATCGATCTCATTCGGTACAGAGAGATTCCTGGGAAGAAGACGGGGTGATATATTACCTTCCTTCATACCCCCGTTCCAAAAATAGCACAAGGAAGCTGAACATCAGCACCCATCCAACGTTGTTTGGGGTGGAACTTCCCTGTAGGTGGGGCTACTCGCCCGCAACTGGTGAGGGGGGTATTTTTATCCACAGTGCGAAATGCTTGCTTTCTCCTGAACAACTTGGGCAGCTTTGGAGCTTCCAAGACAGGAAGCGAGAGGAGCCAGAATGCTAAGTCTTTCCTGAGTGGCTGCCATTTTGGCTCAGCTGTGGGTCAAGCGGCCCAGACGCCAGTTTAGCGGGGAAGCGTTTATCCATTAGCACGTTGCCAGCGTAGCATCTGAAGTACAGCTAATACGGTGTGAATTAACGAATCACTGATCTGGAGCCTACTGCATTTCTTGTGACGCAGCTATTTTAAAAATAATGCTTAATGCTGGCAATGCACGGCAAATCGACATCTTAAAAAACGAAATAAAAATGGCTTTTTCAGCACTTGTAACTAAATGTAGTCAAGTGAAAGCAGGAGAGATTAGTTGTGTGCTGCACACTTACTACATCAAAATCCAGTGTAGCCCACATGGTTTGTCAGCAGATTATGTGACGGGTGAGAGGTCAATGGAGAGCACAGAGGGACACGTCAGTATCCGAAGACACAGCCGGGTCCCATCCATTAGCGCAAAAGAGTAGCACCGCCCACAACAACTGGGCCAGAATCATCCCCCGCAAATGTTTTCTTTGACTGACAGGACAGCAACGAAAAACAAATATTTTCAAATATTTTAAAAGACCAATATATAAACATGGCGATGTAAACAACATTTGGACGGCAGCTGTCTAAAATACAGATTTCCGCCCAGATGTGAGTGTTTATTCAAGTTCATGTGCAATATAATATGTCATGTTTCTATAAACACTAACTCCCAATATCAATTTTAAAATTAAGCACTTCACGCTGCGTAAAACAGCAACAGAACCTCCTGCAGCAACAGAATGTTCTCGAACATCCAAACCTTCCAAGCTCATTTCAGTGTCCATTTACTGACAACAGGCTTGTGGCGATGGCGGGGACATGGGAGGAGAAGGAAAAAAGTAACGGGTGCTTTTGCGAGATTCCACAATACAGATTTATCAGTGAATGACTGATCAGAATACACAGGGTAAAATAAACAGATTTATAACTAAAAAATAAGTACACTTTTCCAATTATGTATGAGTGACAGCTATTGAACGTGAAGTGCACGTATGAATGTTCAGATATTGATTACATTTTCCTCGTAAAAAGAGATTACGCCTGGAAAAGTGAATTTTGAATATAAAGCTAACTTTTCCGCGGTGCCGGAGTTAAGGTTTAAACCAGGGCCCACTACCTCCCTGGTGTTTGTGGCTGAGGAAGCAGGCCCACCAGAGGTTACAGTACATTCCATGTACCTAGAGCCAGTTTTGGTAGCTGGTAGTTTTGGTAGCTGGTAGTTTTGGTAGCTGGTAGTTTTGGTAGTACTTCCAAGGCCCCTGCCTTCGACTGCCACCCGATCTACTTCACACCCCACCCACGCGGCCCACCTACAGGTGGTGGTCCCGCAGGAGGGCGGACCCAGAGCTGCTGCTCCTCCGCGTCAAAAGGAGCCAGTTGTGGTGGTTCGGGCGTCTATCTAGGATACCTCCTGGGCGGCTCCCTGGGGAAGTGTTTCTGGCATGTCCAACCGGGAGGAGGCCTCGGGGCAGACCCAAGACACGCTGGAGAGATTACATCTCTCAGCTGGCATGTGAGTGCTATAGGATTCCCCCGGTGCAGCTGGAGGAGCTGGCTGGTGAGAGGAAGGTCTGGGCATCCCTGCTTAGACCCCAGATGAGCAGAAGAAAATGGATGGATGGATGGATGGATGGATGGAAGTATGGATGGATGGATGGATGTAGGCCAATATGGATCACATGGGTTTATTGTGTTATCTCGCAAAACATTTGCTGGTGGTAAATGGACACAATGCAATTATTTTAATAAATGCCTATAAAAATACAAAATCTGATAATTAAATGGTGTATATTGTCCCCCGTAGCCTATTTGACCATTTATTCTATCCGTTGTAGTTGAAACGGGCACAGTGAAATTATTAATACATTTGTATTGCGATATCTCGGTAATGGACTCATTATTTTTTCTTCCATTAGTTTTCTTCTCCTCTAATGTCCTCTTCAAGGCTCTGTACGATTCTGGGTAAAATATGAACAACGATTTCTTTTCCCCTCAGAAATGCGATCGGGACCGTCTCTCACGATTCTTCAGCAATATATCTCCCACTTTATTATTTTTTCTTATTATTGCCTTTATGGGCAAAACAAACAATACGACTGTCACATATATGCTACCGACATCGACTTCGCAGACCTGAAAACACGCTCCAGGTACCTCGTCTATCGACGTTAAATTCACACAAGACGTGTATCGTTACTGAAACTTAGGGGGCAGCTGTGTGCTATATTTTGGACAAATTGTACAGCAGGGATAAATCAGCAAAGTTGCTGCCCGTGTGCCAACGATTCATAACACCAGCCGGTACCTTGACATGACAAATGGTAAATCTGAAAATGTGAGCTGGGACTTTTTACTTATTTGTTTACCGAGTGAACTCTGTGTGGTGTCTTTGCACTTGGTTTTCTATTAAATGTATGTTTCCCTATGCTGTGGCTGAAAGGCAAACATAAAAAATACATTTGCTGTGATGTCCAGCTTTCAAAATGTAATCATGGGTAATGAATTACACTGACACTCTGATAAAGGCATTTCAAATCGAATCAATTACAACAGCACAGCATACAGCAGTATATGCAAAGTGAGTGTTAATTAAGCTACTTGTTAATTGAAAGACGTTTCATTCTATTAATGCGCAAGTAATCTGTGAAGCTGACATGACATTGACAAATAGAGCAGCTTGATGGTCCGGATCAACCTATGCCACAAAAATGGTCTGAGGGCAGAAGGAACAATGACTGGTTCAGAGAGATAACCAATCAGATTGTCGAGGAGGTGGGTCCAAGCAACTAGAGGAGGTGGGACCAAGATATTTGATTGGTGGGTCCCACCTCCTCGACAATCTGATTGGTTATCTTTCTGAACCAATCATTGTTCCTTCTGTAAAACTCCCATGAGCAATCCTATCGGTGACACAGGTGGCTCCCTAGGCCATACCAACTTGCTAGCCAGTTTCCCTACATGGGGGGCCGGCAGCGATGCTTGCCTAGGGTCCCACATCAGCTAGGATCCTATGATTTGCTTGTTTTGAGTTTCATGCACCACATCAGTATCTCTCGCATGCTCTGGCACAACACTGGGCCTCCCCTCTTCCTCACACTGTTCAAGTGATATGAATCAAGATTGTGATTCAAAAATATTAATCACACAACCCCACTGTTGCTCAGAGCCCCCGGTCTGCTGCCGATGGAGACGTTCACCATGGTGGCCGTGAAGATGCTGAAGGAGGAGGCTTCAGCGGACATGCAGAATGACTTCCAGAGGGAAGCCGCTTTGATGGCCGAGTTTGACCACCCAAACATCGTCAGGCTGCTCGGTACGAGCCGCCCCACCGGCACCATCACAGTAACGTGACCAGTTTTCACAGTCACCGTAACTCCCGCTCTTTTCCTGTGTATCACTACGCTGTTTTTTTTTCACAGAACTTGAATTTGGAAGGTTTTTTCCCCCTGAAAATTTGCCCCCAAAAAAGCAAAAAATGCTGAAAGACCCAAACAGCAAGTCAAAGACCTTAGTTTGGAGGCAGCAGGCAGACACAAAAATGACATGGAAAGGGAACTATGTAGCCTCCGTTTGACAGCTTGCCCAGCTGCATCTGAAATTAAGATGCTAATGATGCTAATCCATAGGATAAAACGCATTAAAAAACGCACAAAAAAACAATTAAGGGAATCTGCTCAGAATTAATTTAAAACCAAACAATGTGATGCGTTATTACTGTGGTAGTGGTGTTGTAATTGAATGATACAGCTTTATGGTAATTTGGACATTATATAGCTTCATTTATAATTAGCATTAACTAATGTTCATATTAGCCAAAGTTGGCCACGCTTTGACTACTGTCTCCTCTATCCCTCCCCCCCCCAGGAGTGTGCGCCGTGGGCAAACCCATGTGCCTCCTGTTTGAGTACATGGCTAACGGCGACCTGAACGAGTACCTGCGTCGGAACTGCCCCAATCCGCGGCACAGCCTGAGTCAGGCCAGCTTGTCGGGCCGCAGTTTCGCCTCTGAGCTGGAGGGCGGCGCCCTCACCTGCGTCGACCAGCTCTTCATTGCCAAGCAGGTAGCTGCCGGCATGGCCTACCTGTCGGAGCGCAAATTTGTGCACCGAGACCTGGCCACCCGCAATTGCTTAGTGGGCGGCGAGCTGGTGGTGAAGATCGCCGATTTTGGCCTGTCCCGGAACATCTACTCGGCCGACTACTACAAGGCCAACGAGAACGATGCCATCCCCATCCGCTGGATGCCGCCCGAGTCCATCTTCTACAACCGCTACACCACTGAGTCGGACGTGTGGGCCTATGGCGTGGTGCTTTGGGAGATCTTCTCTCATGGCATGCAGCCCTACTACGGCATGGCGCATGAGGAGGTCATCTACTACGTGAGGGATGGAAATGTGCTGGGCTGTCCCGACGGCTGCCCGCTGGAGCTCTACAGCCTCATGCGCCTCTGCTGGAGCAGCCACCCCTCGGACAGGCCCGGCTTCCCCAGCATCCACTGCATCCTGGAGCGGATGCACAGTCAGATGCTACACGCCTCCCTACCCTGACCCCTGATATCCCCTGGAAGACAGCAGCCGGTGGGTCAGCAGAGGGTCTGGGATCATTTCCTGATGGGATCCTTTGGCCCATCTTGATGACAGTAGGTCCTACAGCTGAGATGACGATCAGCTGGATGCACCAAGAGAAGATGTCAAATGCATTCGCTCGAATAAACCTCCGCAGGCTCCCTTTGGAGATGTGGGTGGTCCTAAGTCCATATCCAAGACTCTCCCCAAAACAGCTCATTTCCACCTGATTAACTACAGTCTGTGCAGAAATGACTGTTCCAGTTGGGGATAACCTCTCCTTCTCCTCCACCATAGGAGATGCCGTCTGAGCCCAAAAGGGACAAGATAAACCTTTAAGATCCATTTTAGAATCGACTGGACTGCACTTTCTCTTCAAAATAGATGATTGCTTTTCTTGTCTAGCGGGAACAGTTAACGATCTGAAGGGTCTTTGCCATTTTAAAAACACACCCATGTATTAGCTGATCGACGCCGGTGTTTTCCCCGTTTCTGACGGCAGATAAGCTTAATGAGCGCCACCACACCGCGTACACACCTCCCTGAATGCCTTTCAGACACCTTCAGCCACCCGCTGCCCTCTTTGAAGCAGGGCACCTGGGAGTAATGAAGATCAAAGCCAGAGGGTAGGACGGGCAGGTACTTACACCCCCACCTGTATTTAGGGCTGTATTTCATTGCAAACATGCCACCGTCTATACAGGATACAGCATATTCCACAGTGGTACATTATCACTTTTAATATTTTTATATGTTGTGTTTTGACATTGTTTTTTTTTTTTATTGCTCTTCCAGCTAATCATGTAATGTTTTTATCATTGTTATTGCATTATTTTTTGGCTATATCACACAAATGCATCCAGATACACCAGGAACTCGACACACAGAGTCCCTCCTCAGGGTTAAGGAGAGCAGGCAAGGAAATGGCAGGCTTCCCCGTTTGTTTAGACGTGTTCGGCTTGTATCTCACATGCATGATGGAGTGTAAACTCCTTAGATAAAACATACCGAGTCAAACCGTAAAGTAACCATGCAGGATACCATTCCAGCAACTTTGTTTCACAGGTAGTCAGCTTGTGATATTTAAATGTGCTTTTTTAAAGGTTATGTTTAAATATAATTACCGAAAGGCCTGTTTCTGCAGTACCTGAAAATACCCAACCAGTTTGTGTCGGCCGTTTTTTTCCGGCGATCGTACCCTGTGCGGACGCCTCTGGGCACCGATGGCCGTGCTGGTCCCAGTTCTGGTTCTGAACGCTGCCTTTCTGCAACCTGCATCTTCTCTGAGCAGCATCACCAGCTACTGTGAGCGAAGCAATGATGAGCTGCTGAGAGAAAATGTTACATCTAGGTTGAAAACGTCTGAAAATATGCCGGCACTTTGATTCCTTCTTTGTTATTATTAATTTTGATTCAAGTATTTGACAAATTGTCTGGATTTTGTGTGCAGTCTAAGATTTTGTGCTTAAAATGCAGATTATTATGTGGATTGAATGGCCGAGTGATCACACTAACTTTGTCATATTTGTATGCATTATGCCATGATTATTTACACTCCATAAACTAACTTTACAGCTGCCGTGTAGACGATACAGATTAAGTTGCAATATGATTTTGTGAGGTAGGTGGCACTGTTTCATCAGTTTTAATAAAATTCAGGAAAAAAAAAATCACTTCTGCTGGTCTTTTATTGACGATCTCACCGTAGATTTTGGGATCCATAGACGTGATAAAATGTCTTTGACGCCTTGATGTTACTCGAGTTGGACTTTCTCAGCTTAACTTTCCATGTTCTACAAACCGGGTTGGGATGTCGGGAAACCGGGCGGAAGCAGAACACTCCTCCTCCTGTGTCTTTGTCGGGGTTTGTCAGTCGCCTCCTTGGTTGCATTGGGAAACAGCTTCGTAAACTCCCCCCCCCCCTGACCCCCACCCTGTGCACCGACCAGCTGTTTCATTTTGCCTCCACCAGGGACCAGATGTGTCTCCTTGCCAAGCCGCATGACGCAATCGGCCCTGTGCCTCTCCGTGAGAGCCCAAATGAGGAGAGGACAAAGGCACACATTCAGCGCGCTCTGGCTCCCCGGTGACAAGGCCGCAGCTGCAGGTGACGAGCCGGCATGGGAGCCACGTGCCGATGCCAAGCCCGGGGCCTGTCCGAACATGGCACTGGATTTCTGGGGGGGTGACGATGGAGAGCGGAAGGAGGTTAAACGAGAACTGCGTGATCTCAGTGCAAACCTTCAACTTGGCGCGACCCTGCAGAGTCTCCACAATTTATATCAACCCCATCCCCTCTTTTCCCCCCTCCTTCCAGATGTGAGAACTGGAGGGTCCAACCTGCTGGCACATTCTGTGTGAAAGGTTCTCCCCTCCACGTACTTCACAGAGTGCTGGTGTGACCGGGCAGGGAGGGGGGGCTCCGGCGGGACACCGGTCACAGTGGACTTCGAGGTAGACCGTGCCTGTGAGATGATGTCATGTGAAAGCTATCAAAGCCACCGTCACTGGCAGGGAGTCCTGCTGCGTTTTCGAAATCCCATTAGTCCTAAAATGTCAGGCCGTGCAGCGTCTCCCATCCAGCTCAAAGCGTCACCCCGCAGCCCGAGAGCGTCTGGGCACAGGACAGCCAACTGGGCCATGTGGTCCTGGGTTCACGGTCAGATACTGTGATTTGGAAAGGGGGGTTCTGAGGAGAGGCCGGAATTAAGGAAAAGGATTCAAAACAGACACCCATACTTGCAGGCATCTGACTGGCTCTCAGATGCAGATCACGTGGCGGCCGGCACAGTGATGTCATCGTGAGCCATCAGGGACTGACGCCAGCCACAGTGACGCTGCCCCGGTCACAGCCTGGCGCTCGCTCCGAAAGTGCGGCATGAAAAAACGATGGTCCCTGCGGCTGAAATTTAAGAACCAGGCCTGGGGTCCAGACAGGAATCACATCCAGTGTTCACATCAGCCATTTCCTGACTCCCTCAAAAAGACAAAAACCATTTTGTATGACCCCCCCCAAGCCCCCCCCCCCCCCGCCCCATACATACCAGCCGTCTCCACACTCCGCCCTGTCAGCTCTGTGCCCCCACTGTGGCTCTGTCCCTCAACACTATGGCATCCCTTTCGCTCAGCACACAGGGAGAGCCCTGAACGAGGGCATTTCCTGTGTGGCTGGAGGGGTGTGGAGGAAGCCAGGGCCATCAATCTGTCCGTGGGGGGGGGGTCGCAGAGGTGCAGGTCATGGGTGGGCACGGCCCTGGCTTTTTCCACATAACTTAACTCTGCCACATAGGCACAAAGGCTGACCACGCGGCTGGCAGCTAACACCGCCTGGCACTGAAAATGCAGACCCGGATTTCAGCATCAGGCCCAGCACCGTTAAAAAAAATATCATGGATGGGTGTTTTGAGAACCGGTGCGGCAGAAAGTCTAACAGCCTCACCCCCCAGATGGTGGGAGAGAGGCCTGACTGAGGAACGCCGCCGCCTCGTATCTGCTGTTCTGACGCTTGCACTGAAATCCTGGTATCTGTAATCAGGGGTGTACTGCTCTGAAGGGAGTCTTTGTCTTAAAGGGCACTGTGCCTTTGATTCACCACAACAGCTTAATCACACCCAGTCAGCAGCAGGTAGCGTAAGGAGCTCAGGCCAATGATTTCAGGAGAAAATACATTTTAAAAACATCTAGTTTATTTCATTTTTTTCCTGCAGACAACCATTTCAGAGGACTTTATTAAAATGTCTTCACTAAAGACCCCAGACAGCAGGCCACCTTATTATCTGTGCTGAATTTATTTTGAGAGTATGGAGAAAAAAATATTTGTGGTGGAGTAGACACCCTGACCCAGGTGACCAAGGCTGTGACTCTTCCGTTTGCTGAAATGCACCTTTAAAAAAACAGAAGGGCTTACGCAACATTTTTAGCAATTTCCCACATGGTGTTGTGCAAATCATACATCTGCTTAAAGTGGTCAGCTGAGGTCAATAACAGCGGTTTGCATGCTGTCACCCAAAAAGGATTGCTTTGCTGCTGTGGCGAAGGGGGACGTTCCTTTTAAAAGCAAACGTTAAAGATTTCCTTTTATGATTAAGTGACAACTTTGAAGATATATATTTTATATACATACATACATACATAAGTGGATATAGGAAGTACAACACAGATTGATATTTTTTGGTCTCAAGCGCAACCTCAAATTACATCATTACATTTTTAGTGAAGTTGAAAAAAAAATACACATACTTTAATGTCAGTTATGGAGGTGTATGTAAGAAAGGAGCTATCGGCTTTCTTTTAAGAGAGATCCACCCATACATGCTGATGGGAGGGACCCAAACGCCGCTCGCTCACAGGATCTCTGTTCTTAGTGGGATGAATATTTATCAACACTATTTCATTAACAAAGCTTTAAGGCGAGTAAAACGATATGTTACATAAGTTTCTACACTTGGTCCTGTTACCCGGCAAAAAAACGCAGTGCGATTTCAGTGAGAGATGGGAGTCCCGCGTAGTCTGCCGTGTATAACGCCGGCCCTGGGGGCGGGCTGGCCATGGACCTCGTGCGTCCCACACAGGGGGGGCTACGTGACAGCAGGAAGGCAGCCCTGCATCTGGGTGACCGCGGCGGACGGCAAAATGGCGGCCAGTTTTCCCAAGGTTTCCTTCATATTGTACGTTAGTCCTTCGGTGGGAAATGCCACGGCACTGTTAAAAACAGACAAAAGCGGAACAAACAGTGCAGGCGAGAAACACGCAGCTAACAGCTCACTGGTGCCGTCCCAGCTGGCTCCATTTTCGCTCTCCGAAAGAGCGGGACACGTCTCCTTCATACCACCCCGGCAATGACACCCTCACCAGCTCCCCTCTCCTCCTGGGCCCGTGCAGCCGCCCGCACGCCCTCCGGGCGCTCACACCACCGAGTGCTCGTTGTTGTGCGGTCCACTCAGCACCGTGTGGTTCATGGAGGAGGCAGAGCGGTCGGAGCCCTCCGCCGTGCCGTTGACGTTCTCCTGCCGCTGGCAGCAGAGGATCTGTCTGAAGGTGGCGCTCATCTCCTTGTCCCGGTAGGAGTAGATGATGGGGTTCATGGCCGAGTTGAACTCTGCCAGTAGCAGGAAGAACTTCTCGAAGCTCAGGACGTTGCACTCGCTGCAGAAGACGTCCAGGAGGAGCAGAACCAAACCGGGGGTCCAACATATAATGAATGCGCCTAAAAGGAGAGGAGAGGAGAGGAGAGGAGAGGAGAGGACAGGAGAATACAACATGGAGTTAGTCACCTAACCCCGAGGCGGAGGCCTCATCGGCCAGCATGATTGTGTAGCTACAATGCAGAGCGTCAGAGGCTAAAACCACTGAAAATAATAATAAATCCTGGCATTTAAAGCAGGCGGGGGGTGTCTTTGAGCATCACATCCCCCCCCCCCCCCCCTCAACGCCAGCTTTAATATTACATGGTTTGTGAAGCTAATTAGAGACCGAGCGAAGGTCATCCAAAGGCCCCGCCAGCCTCACTTTCATGCGTTTATCAGCCTGGTTCGTGCATCTCCGTGTCAGGAAACAGGGCAAAAAGTCATTTTGGCTACAGATGTGCTTCTGTGAGAGAAGAGGCAGACTTTGAGGGCCCCGCTCTCCTTCAGCTGAGCCAGCTGTTCCAGGCCCTGTTTACCTCACTGGACAGCTATGGAAAGACTCTCTGGAGTTAGATAAATCCCACTCAGTCCCTTTCCAGCATAGCACTCAGAGTTGTCCAAAGACAACGAGCGGAAGGTTTGTTTGTGACGTCCCGGTCTTATAAAAGTGAATGTTAATTTTCTCAGACAATTGTCTAGCTCAGGGAAGCCATTTGCTTTGCTAATGATCCTGATTTTTCAGTTTCCTCGAGCCTGCTGTCCGCAGATAGGCGTGTAGTCGGAAAGGCGGCCATTTTTTGCCGACAGTGATTGACAAGAGCTTCGCTCTAGGCCACGAAATCAGGCCGGGGGGTGACAATGTCACGTTGCCACACGCAACCCCCGCGGGACCTGAATGCCCGAGTGACTAAGAACAGAGTGCCTCTGTTGCGTGAAGCACGGCTCTTTAAAGAGACGCACTCGCACTGTGACAGGACACGGGCCAAAACCACACATACAGGCCGCTGACAGAAACACGAGGGGGTGGGTCCGGCTGGTCATTAGTCGCCATGACTACATGGAAAAATCACATCAGGCAGTACACAACCACACGCAAAGGTCTCATTACCTAAACAAGACTGGTGGCATTATGGGGGTCCACACCATTAGCTAATGTCCAGTGACGTCACCTTAGCGGCGCCATTAAACACTGGCTGAAGGAGGCACCTTCCCCTGGGGGTAGTCTACGCACTGCATATCGCAGTGCCTTTTCCAAGCTGTCTCGCCATGACCCAACCAGAGAGGCCCCGTGATTTTTCACCCATTGAGGGAACCGTATCCTTCTGGGTGTAACTGTCACACTGTGGCCAGTACACAAGCCAGAGAGGCATCATAAAGCACACTGTAAGCACACAACTCTACAATGTCAGCAGTGAATTACCCTACGCTCGCTCACTATTGAATAATAATTTATACATAGTTAAATCAAGTCACACCACATTGTATCTCCAATGAATCATCTCTATTACCTTGATGCTGCAGTTTGGTGGAAGATCTAGATCTCAGCTTCCAACCAAACATTTATATGGTTCACTACACTAGACCAGTAGTTCACAATCCGGCCCTCGGTGACCCACAGACAGTCCACATTTTTGAGAACTAGGAGGGTGCAAACACTTGTCTGGCAGGGAGCTCGGAGGGAGCAAAAACATATGGGTCCCTGAGGACCAGATTGGGAAATACTACACAAGACAAAAGACTACATTACGTGTGATTTATATGACAGACAAGATTAGATATAACAGACACTAATTTCCCCATTACTTGATAGGTTAGCATAAATGTCATGGTATCTTTTCTAACTGGACACAGTCTCCATCAACGAACAAGGCCCCGCTCTCTCATCTACCAATAAGCTTCACAGCTTCTCATTGGCTTCAGAGTGGTAATGCTGAAAGGCTTGCAGGGCATTTATTTAATTTATAATCACACTATTCTTGCATTGAGAGAGAGGAGAAAATGAGCACATTCAGACCTCAGAGTTTATTCTGATTTCACGGACAGACGAAGGTTTCTGTAGGAAATTACAAAGCCAGGGGCTGATATGGCGATTTGTGGTGAAACCCTACATCCGTGCGAAGCGTCGCGATGCCACGGCGACCGGCAGATGTGTAATTTACAATTATATTGTGGGTTAAAGTTTACACTGGGCCCTGTCCCGTGTTTTTGTACTGAGTCAGAGCTTGCCTCATGCTGATGGTGCCACACACAGCTTCCTGTTCAAGGGGAAGTTGTCCTAACAGTGTGAGGCAGCACCAAAGATCAGTGGCCTGTACTACGAAGCGGGGTTACTGGCTTATTGGGGTAACTTATCGGATTTAAGGTACCACAGTTTAAATGGACTTCATATTCGTTCACTTACATTTTGCCCAGACTACCTTAAATCCGACAAGTTACCCCGATAAGCCAGTAACCCCGCTTCGTAGTACAGGCCCCTGGCTTCCGCCCTGTTTGAAATCTAACATCCATCTTTAATTTAAAACCAGCCAAAACGCCGACTTAATTTCTGACACACTTGTAACCATGTACACTTCAACGTGGCCATGACTTTTTGGGATTCACAGCTAGAGAAGGCACATTTTCAGATTCATTCCCAAACAATATTTAATCTCCGACAGGAATGGGAGGAAGGTCATGGTGATTCTGACTCAGAGGGATGCCATATAATTCTGGGAAATTTGGGAACGTGCCAAGTTTGACAACGACCAACTGGTCAATCGATTTACACAGAAATGCTAATGGATGAGACAATGTGTCAAATTAATCTTTTTAAGAGATTATAACCCATTTAGGGATTAGGAGACAAGGTGATTAAGAACGGCAGTTTGCAGCACAAAGTTTTTTTTTTTCCGGTCTTGCCAACCAGAAAGTATTTCAAAACAAGGGAAAACAGACAGATAAGCATGGAGGATAATAAGAGCGCTCAAGGGTGTGTGTTTGAAGGCCGAGGTCATCGCTTAGGGTCCCGAGAGCAAGGGGCTGCACCTGAAGCGTTTCAGTGAACCAGGATGAACCAGGATCTGCTCAGCATTCAGAACGCGATGGCCACAGATCGAAGGGGCACCATGCTGTCGAAAGGCAAAGCTAAGTGGGAACATGAATGACAACTGAGCCTTCGGGAGCTTACCGCCGGGGGCTGGGGGGCTTCAGGAGGTTACCGGGGGGCAGCTTGTTTGTTATCCATGCAGCAAAACCTACAGTAGTCTTCCAACTGGCAGCTGTCCAGGCTGCTGTATTTCAGGAATCCAGTCCTACGCCTTGCAGGCTATAAATTTACGACTTCCTTACAGCTTTCCATACACAATTAAGTGCTGTGACTGAGACTTACAAATTAAAGCACTGGCCAAAGTCTACCCCACCCTCACACCCCACCCCAGCCGTGGTCTGAGCTCTGAAATGTGCAAAATGTGTGAGCACAACCCAAGTATATCTCCCCCAGGGCCCATGTGGATACTCATGGCATAGATGGGCAGTGCTAGGCCTTATGGGTAATACGTCGGTCTTTCCAGAGGATTTACATTGTAATCTCTATCATTATGTGAACCGGAATCTCACGATTTTTTTTCTGTATACATGTGTGAATATTCAAATGAACGCTATCCAAGAGCATTACACGCTTTTTATGGAAACAGAGACCGTATCGAGCTGGAAATTCCCGATCTGTCTCGTCGGCATCATGGGAACGTTCCAGCCGCGTAATTCCATGCATCAGTGCCGAATCTCCTTGCACTGGTGGAGGAGCTTCCGGAGCAAACGTGTAAATTCGCACCGGGTCCATCCAACCGGCATGGGGGCCATGTGGGAAATGGCACCATGACGAATGCGGCCAGCAGAATCGGGCCACCTGCAGAACGGCTTAGTGCAGGCCGGGCGTGTTTCAGTGCTGACCCCATCTTGACCAAAGGACCCGCTCGCCCCCTGCCGGCCGCCCCACCTCCCCTCCCCCCACCCACCCACCTACCTCCCCTCCCCCCACGCACCAATCTGCTTTGCTCCTGCTTCTAATTCACCCCGTTTGTTTGATTAAGTTAGCTGGTACTGCAGATAGCAATTTGTGGGAAAAGGACAGCTTGACATCACATACGATAGCACTCTGAACCCGCCCAAGAAACCAATACATGCCTAATTTTGACTCGTGAATCCAGAAATAAATAAAAATTATTTTGCAGTAAGACATAACTTAGGCGTGAGATTAACTCCTGAGTAAAAAGAAACTATTTCAAAAAATATTTATAGGAAACATTAAATAGTACATCTCTGTTTTTTGTAAATAACTTAAAAATGGAATGAATACCATGGCTTGGTCCCAAAAACTGAATTACTCATTTTCACTCTCCCCTCCAAAAGCCTGATAATCAAACCGACGATCCCGGGGACCCCCCCCCCCCCCCATAAATTGTGTGGCTGACTGCATCAGAGTCCTGATATTTTCCAGCCGTTTTCCGTGATAGAAGCTCCCAGGAGAAATTAGGAATGACTTATTTTACAGCATCCTGAGAACCTGAAGCCATTCGCTCATCTGCTACACACATGTGCGCCTCTGAACACCCACTTCCCGAGGACTTTTTAACCTTTGCACGCTCTGGGACGGCCAGCGCGCTTCCCGCTGTATTTCACAGAGCACGTGGCCATTTCTTACAGTAGCGGAAACAAACAGGCATTTCGGGCCCTACGCGACATGTATAATGGACGTCCTGGAATTTGGGGATAATTTAATGCTGACTCTGCTCACCCTCCCAGTTGACACTAATGCACATCACAGATCCCTGAACCACAAAAGCTGCGTTCCTTTCGGATGCTAACATGAATTAATGAAGAGATATGAGTTTTAAATACATCCTGCGTACTGAATGTTACGTACAGCTAGCCACTAGCTTATGAGGGACTGAAGAAAACTGTTTACTCGACCCTAGAGTCAAACTCAAACGACGTACCCATCTCATCCTTTGGGCCCGTTAATCTTGAAATCCTTTTAACAATGGAACAAAAAGCTAAAAGAAAAACAGACGGACTGAAACAACTTCCAGCTGCGATTCGGAGGGTGGAGGTTGTGTAAAGTCACGGCAGGGATTTTTTCTAAAGCAGCCGATTCACAGCCACGACTGAAAAACACAAATATAAGAACAACAGGCATCAATCATGCGGAGGTTTCTGTCGCGGACTAAGCTGGAAGGCGCTCTTCAGTTCACTCCGTGGTGTGGTGTCGCCATAATACGCAGCTGGACTCGAGGCTCTGACCCGGTCATGTCAGACACAGACCATCCCCCAACAGTCCGATGGCGTACGCCACAGTCTCAGTGCACGCGGCGTCCTGCCTTTAGGGGCCGGCCGGCGTCTGTCGTCACGTGATCTGTTCCCAATTAAGTCGCAAACGGTCGCTGTACTCGCAGACCACTTCTAAGGGACATTCTGTACTGGCGTCCGTGGAGTAAAACGGAGTTTAAAAAAATAAACAATCCCAGCATCCTCACAGGGCCGGAGAGGGAGGCAATCCAGCCAGGCTGGACCTCCTCTGGTTTCTTCTGACAGTAAAGATGTTTGATTTCCTGGCCGATATTTTTAGGGTTAGCCTTATCTGAAAATAAACGCCTTGATCCACCAAGGCTATTTACTTGGCAAACTGGCAAAGGAAACCAATATGTTTACCTGACATCTGTGGGGTTAAACACATTCAGTGGTGTGACGGCTCTTCTCTAACTGGGTATCAGGTTCAAACAAATATTTGGAATATTTAGCAGTGGCACGACATGGGTATAGAGCCTGTGGTGGACCAGTCTCCATCTCCCGTTCCTCCATCAGCTACAGCTGGACTCCATACCGATCCGATCAGGCCTAATTGAAACCGAGAGCACTCCCTCTCGCGATATTCTCCCCAGCCACGCCTGCAAATTCACCTCAATGCGTCTGTCTCCACATCCTTCTGTGCCAGAACCGTTAGGCTCTAAACTCTATCAGATGCATCACTTTTTATTTCTATGGAACACAAACATAATTGGGGGATTGTACCTTAAAAACACCATTTCACTCAATGTCATGTATCTTCCAGTCAAGCCAGTGTGACAACATAACCCTCTTTACGGCTTTCATAGTGTTCTAGTATCCCTGATGACCTCATATCATTCACAACCACCTACTCATCCCACCCTCCTGAGCTTATTCACCAGCAGCTGGCACCCAGAGTTGGCTGAGCCACTGTTCCCGCCGTCGGGACGCACGGACATGGCCGTGGTGTCGTACTAGGCGACTAGCGGGACCGACGACAAAGACTCAGTGAGACTTCTGTGAAGTCAGACTCTGCATAGAGTCAAAGACTCTATTGTCCGCATCGTTTTCCAAAGCTGAAACCGGACATCTGGCTGGGGTGCCTCTCGAAGCACGTTCCAGCAGAGCTGCTCAGTGCCAAACAGTTGGCAGCTCTCAAGTTTTTGTTTGGTGTCCCCCTCGGTTGCTCCATGTCAAATCGATCGTCGTTCCCTTTGATTTAGCTCAATTCAGTTCCAGCACCATCTATATCTGCGACTGTGTGTGCATTCCACATAACCAACCAATGAAAACTTGCCATTTCTGCACACACATCGCAAATGTTCCGGAAGTTTGTGCTCAGTTTGCAGCCACAGCTGCACATGCCAGAGATAGGACTTCTCAAGACCCCCCAAGATGGCTTTGATGAGGTTTCTACTGCAAATGGGAGACACACCAACAAAGAGATGGGAATGGCATAAACGAGGCAATATCGTGCCAACAACAACGTGGCAAGATTGTTTACCTAGTGCAAAAGACTAATTGAAAACAATAATAGCTAACCAGACAGGATGGATAAATTAGGGACCGGAGGAGCTGGCAGAAACAAAGTGGCTCCCAGAAACCGTACAGCCAGCCCAGAGGCACTCACCTAGGACGATGACGACGGTCTTCAACAGGCTCATCATGGTGTCTCGGTTTCGCCGGGGACCTGAGCTGTGCCGGGACATCCTCATGGTCCTCTGGCGGACGTAAACGAATATGTGGGCGTAGAGGACCACCATAACAACAAAGGTGACCAGGTTGAAGATGGCCCAGAAGACCAGGTAGGAATTGCTGTAGAGCGGTGCCATGTTGGAGCAGGTACTGATGTCGCAGATGCAGTTCCAGCCCACGCTGGGGATGGCGCCCATGACAATAGACATGGTCCAGATGATGACGATGACCACCACCACCCGGCGGTTGCTCATGCGCGTGTGCAGCTGCATGCGGAAGACAGTGATGTGCCGTTCGATGGCGATGGCCAAGAGGTTGGCCACCGAGGCCGTCAAGCTGGTGTCGATGAGTCCCTGGCGGAGCAGCCAGGTGCTCACGGTCAGCCGCCGTGTGTTGGGTCCCGTGTTGAACATGAGGTAAAAGTAGGCCAAACCGGCGAAGAAGTCGGCCGCCGCCAGGTTGGCCATGAGATAGTAGATGGGGAAGTGGAAACGGCGGTTCACGTAGATGGCCACCATGACCAGCAAGTTGGCCAGCATGATGAAGATGCCCACCGTGATGCCCAGTCCCATCACCAGCTTGCTGACTGTGTTCCACTCGGTGGCCAGAAACTTCCCACTGCGGTTGTAAAAGAAGGCGATGGTCTCGTTGTAGTAGCACTGTCCTTCGTCCATGGTGTCTGTTTGCTCCCTGAGGATGACAGAAGCACGTGAGTTTAGGAGGTCACTTTGCAGGGGGCACATATGCTGGCTTCCACTCAAAGTGCCTGTCAAATTGTCCAAAAACAATCTGCGTTGTTCATGCCTACCCCGCAACCCTGACCAGGACAAGCGGTTACAAGGTGGATGGAAATAACATTCAACCCTAAACCCTTTTTTCCAATCAAATGTACCTGTTTTATTTGAGTCACGATTTGTTGAATGAAATTGAAGAAGTGAAAACCAAAATGAGCTCCTACCCCAGAGATAAATGTCAAAACGTTTACACTTAAAGTACGGTGGTTTCCCTGAGCACGGCCCCTCCAAGGAAACCACGGTGGGCGTCCTCTGTATCATCACCCTGTGCGCAGACACACATGCTCAACGACTGAGCAAACGCTGGGCAGATACACAAACACCCAGAAGAACTCCCACGCTGGCTACGTACCCAGGGACTTCCAACATGACCAAATACCAGCCGTCCAAATCCCAGCAGGGGACACGACTCCTACTTACTTGTTACTGGAGCTACTCATGTTTAGCATTTTGCTAAGGAAGGTTTCATTGCAGACTTGAGGCAGCCGCCTTTCTGTTGTGAGCTCACACCCATGACCATTATGCTACCATTCATGAGGAAAGGTCAATCTCTCCAGCTGAATAAGCGGCTAACATGTTCAGCTGTAAGCCCTGCCCTGCAGAGTAACAAGTAAGTAAACAAAACAGCTGTAAGCCTCCAAAACGACTTTAACCTTATTTCTGCAATTCCTCCGTCATCCTCTAATGTAAATATTCCGCTTTCTCTATTCTCACCTTCTTATAACTGGCACAATGTAAAGCGGGGCACGGGGGGGGGGGGGGGGGGGGGGGGGGGGGGGGGGGGGAGAATACCAGACCATGTGCGGACAGACAAACAAGGACAGCAAAGCGCCACCCTTGGGCCACAAGGCCTTTCCAGCGTGCTCTGTTAGGTTTCATTCCAATTGGCCGGTTGCTTTCCCAGCAGGGCAGGAAGTGGGCCCAGAGTTTTGCCTGGGGTCAGTGGACCTGTAGTTCCCCTTTTGCTATTACCTTACAGTTTCAGTACTGGATTCGGTGATCATGACTTATAATTAAACACAGAACTGAAATACATATAAAATGTTTCCTCCCTCTGAAACCATTATCCTGAAAATTTTAAGGTGAAAGTTGCATTTTTAGATGGCGTGAATGTCTAAACTAAAGTGCTAGCAAGCAAATTACCATATTGGCCTGAATATAAGCCTACCCCAATTATAAGATGACCTCCGACTTTTTGGCAACTATTTTTAGAAAAAGGTTTTTAGAATACCAATTCTTACCTTTACAAAGAGAAATAAATGTCCACAGGTATCTAGATTACAATATGTGTATTAAACAGCATTCCAATATTCCAAAAAACAAAATGCATCATTTGCGGAGGGGAGGATAATCAATATTACAAATTCCACAACATTTGAGGGCGCAGAATGTTTTCGATGCAACAGACCAACATGAAGAAGTTAAATAAAAAAAGTATTGGAGAAAGTTTGAGCCGTATTAATAAATGATATGACAGGTCTTTTATAATGAATGATACTATCTTTAACAACAGACACTATCAGTTTAATACTATAGCGGTACAGCCAGGGACGCCAACGATTTACAGGCGCTCAGGGATAGACGGTAAACATACCGATACTATTAGGCTCAGCAGATGACCGTGTTAGCCTGTGGTCATCAAAAGGTTGGCAAGCCCTAATCAGAGAGTTTGATTTTGTCATGGATAATCAAGAACCAAGAAGGGGATTTTTTTTATGTGACCAAGGTAGGTATATTGCCTTACATAAAAGTGTCAATCATCTGCTTTTGTTTTTCCTCAGGCATAGTATTTAAAAATAGACAATCCAAGTGAATCCAAAGACAACTCGTCCCGTGCCAGAAGTGGAAGCAGCACTGAGGAAGAAGATGGCCAGCTACAGCCCAGATGTGATGAAAAGCAGCATAAACAAAATATGTCACTCAACAAAATCGATGAGGCAATGCCAGATAACAAGCTGGATGTGCTGAAAAGCCTGGATGAACGTGGCAAATGTGGCTCACAGGCCTAAGGAGACACACACGCAAGGATACGAGCTCCTCCCAGTGGGCAGGCGAACCTCCAAAGCTCATTCTGTTTGGTGGCTTTGAGGCTGTGCTGCCACACCAGCCCGATTACTGTGTCCCTTGCACCGGGATCCGGGACATACACAGATTATATATATATATATGAAAATATATATATATATTTTCTGCTTATCAAAAAATGTGAAGCAATAAAATGAAAAGATGACATGCAACAAAATGCTGACATGCAGAACCTGACCTGTGCACCACCTTGGGTACCATCGTGCAGAACCGCGAGGTGCTTAGAAAGGGGAACCTAAACTAATCCCACAGTCAGACACAGTAACATCTGTAGCTGATAATGAAAGCTTTCTGCATTGGTGGCGAATTTTTAATGACCATATAAAATGGAGAGCGAGATTTCAGGGACAGATTGCACCATTGTGCTGGTTGACTTAGAGGTCTCTGAGATTTCTCTACCCGACACGCCACACAAAAGGAGGTCTGTGCTTAAAATGTCCGTGGGCGAACTGCTTCTTTATTGAAATGCGGGTCGCAAAAAAAAAGCAATTTCAGCATCATGTTGACAAGACCACCCTCTAGAAACCGCAGATCTTCCATTACAGCGAGCATTCATTCAGGAGAGCCATGAGAAGCTCTCTCTTCCCTGGTCCAAAGTAAACTGGCCTGCTGGAGAGCACGCTGCCCGGTGCAGCGGAAAAACATGCGAGAACTGCATGCGGCGGGGCCGCTGAGTGACGCTGCAGCCGGTTACCGTTAGCGACAGGGAATCTTGCACGCTTTCAGACAGAACCATACAAATGACACACATTGCCAAAACACTGAAACAAACAGGAAAACGTATTTTTAAAAACTCTAGAATTACAGCTAGATTAAAAAGTAAAAATATGATTCACATATTATAATAGGTAAATATCTGCAATGCATATATTACCGCAATATTTGAAATATTACAACATTTACTGAGCTAAATGTTATGCTACTGAGCAGACTGAGTGGCGCAAATTTTTCCTGGGTGTTATTCAGTGCTCAAGTTAATAGTGTTAATAGAAGATTCTGTAAACACTTTATTAAAGCTGCTTCCCAATTTACCATTCTTCAATGAGAATAAAAAACTACTACACCAGGCGAGGATCATGAAGAGGAAAATAGGTAACTCCGACTCAAACAGATCATATCGATCGGAGATGCTTAAAAATGGTTTCGGCACAAGCCAAACCAGCTGCTGAATACCCTGTGCTCTGATAAAGTCTGGAAACCAAACTGTAAAACTGGAAATTGGAACACTGCAACTGTTTCACGATGGCCAAAAATGCAAACCAACTCTTAGAAGAGAATTTTGTGCAAATCGCTGGCATGAACCATATAAATACTTTTAATTAGAAAACTAAAATTAACTGCGTGTCAAAAGACATTAGCAGAATAGTTGAAATTCCAGAGACTGAATCTTAGATTTGACAAAAAATCCAGAACAAAATGCAAACACTGCACAGTATCTTATGTACTATCTCCCGTGATGAGTAACTGCGGTGTTTGCAAAGGCAGCTACTGGAAAAACAGGTGTACATTCACTCATCTGTAACAGCCATCATAGGCAGAGTTCACTTTTGCAATGCAAGAAAAAAAACACAGCATACAAATCCAGATTTCCCGAAAGCTTCCCTAAAAATAACTTGCTCCATTCTTTTGGGGGAAAGGCATTTTGCTCAATGGACATGAACCAGTGAAAGTTTGCGAGATGGTTTCTGTTACGCTGAAAGGACAATCTGGCTAGACCTTGCAGCAAAGATAGCGGGACAGGAGAGGACCTCGTGCCGTTCCAATATCCACAAAACCGTCAAGAAGCGGCAGCATCTGCTATCTGCAGAAGACATACTTTAGCAGATGCTTGTTCCTTTTATCTTTTCTGTCCAGCCCCTACGCTAAAGCCAGGATATCAGAAGGTCATCTGGTGCTCACTGGGATCCACTCTAGGGCACTTTTTGACCACGCCAAGTACCATAATTTTGGTACTTTCCCTTTTCCTTTTTTTTTTTTTTTTTTTTTTTTTTTTTTCAAACATATTGGTGGAGATATTAAAAATTACCTGAGCTAATAATTCCTACATATCAGATATCAGAATTTTGATGCAGTAATCAGAGGTTAGACAGCAAGAATGACTTTCGTATTTCTATCATTTGTAATTCATTTAGAATAGAATAGAATCACTTTATTTCACCAAGTATGCATAACATACAAGGAATTTATCCAGCAACTGCTAATTCTCATCGAGGTCTGGAGAGTGTGGGGCCTGTCCCAGGAAGCACAGAGCACAGGCAGAGACCAACCTGCATGTGATGCCATTCCACAAAAAACAAACACAATTAAGATGCTCAGATTTGCCTGACTGTGATTTTGGCTGAAAGATTAATTAAGCACAGTCTTGTCTGTATAAAAATGTATAGATTCATTTAACCTTAGTCCTATGTTAGCTTTCTGTTCCTATCGCTTATGTTAAACGGATCCGTGCCAACCCCATAAAATACCCTCAAAACAATAATTTATCATCCAATTTGTTTCTTATCTCTTGGTTGCCTTGTTTAGCTTCATTATCCATGAAAAGAT